AACACTATGTATATATTTTAATGTAATTTAGTAGCAACTGGAATGGAGAGAGAACTTTCGGCAATTAATATTCATTATCACTCTCGAATAAATCATTGAGGCCAATAGGCTGGGAGCTAGGAGGCCTGAAACCGATTAATCTGGTTGCTAATAATCTTATGCTCACCTGATGTCGCTAGTTGGAACTAAGATGAACTTATTTGTTGCACAGATGATCACCGAGTTTTTTTGAAGTGAGAACTTATTTAGAATCGTTGTGATTTGAAAGTCGTTAAAACGAAAAAGTGACACAATAATAATTTAAAATTTTGTACAACCGACTTCAATATAAATTATTAAGAATAACTCAAAAACTACCGGTCAGACCTTGATCAATTTATATGGGACCACACGAGAAGCACCAGCTTTCAAATAAAAGAAGAATCATCGAAATCTGTTCACCCAGTAAAAAGTTATGAGGTATCACACATAAAAAAAAACATACAGTTGAATTGAGTACCGGCTCCTTTTTGAAGTTGGTAGAAAAGAGACAAAAACGTAGCGACAGAATGAGATAGAATACAGTATACAGTGTTTCCTATTATGTATATATATGTTGCATGTAATCTATGAGTAGTAAGGATTAAGGACGAAATTTGTTGATTGGAAAATATTTTCCCATACAAAGTTAAGCAACGTCTCAAGACGTCCCGCCGTAATACGTATGTCTTAGAACTGTGTTATATGGCGCAACTTTCTTCACGTCCGACGTTTATAAAAGTTGCCGCCACCGCGCACCTCCGATATACCATAATAAACGACACAACGTTCATCCGCGGAAATAAATATGACAATCTAGAGGACGTCCTATGACGTCGCGCCATTTCATAATTCTATCAACACGACGTTGTAAGACGTTGCTCACGCTAATGCGTAGATGCACATACCGCAGCCCGCGGCCCGCATGCGGCCCGCCGGTCGTATACTGGTGGCCCACCGACAGCAAAAATAATAGGCTCGTACATTCGAAAAATATTGAATTATATTCCAGAATAAAACCAAAAAAAATATGTTCGAAAAGTAATTTGAACCTCGCGCGCTCGCTCTTAAGTGCGCTTATCGGTGCGCCGTGCATGCGTCGATAACAGCGGTTGGTAATGTTCGTGCTGATCTCGGTTAAATTCGTTTTCTTGAGGAACCACCGTGGCCGGCGGCGCGGCGACGACGGCAGCGCGGTGGCGGCTTATCCACGGGTTATATTGTTAGAGCAAGCGAGATAGCAATAGTCCCGAATTCCCGATTGCTCGCGTAGGTAGATACACGAAGCTTCCAGAGTCAGTTTCGTGATTTCTCCAGACAGTTTTCGACTCTATACGCGCGGTATAAAAGCCACGCTAACCGCAGCGACTGACAGTTCGGTTTTAATTTGAGTGAAGTGTCAATAGTTCTAGTGTAGATTTTAACGCGACTAGCCGGTGTCATATATTTTGATCCACATTCAACGTAGATTTCCCGTCAAGTGCTGTGTATAATTGTGTTATGAAATCGTAATTAAACTCTGTTATTAATAAGTGTTTCCCTACCTATTTAATCAATTATTTTTGGTAATTTAAAAAAGAATGAGTCATTTAAGTAGCTACTGTAATTGTTTTTAGGTGCTGTGTTAATCCTAGCCAGGATTAGAACGCAACATGGACAAGCCAGGACTTAGTAAAAAACGTAAGGTTAAAGATGAAAATCGGCAGTTTCAAGAAATTTGGACTAAGAAATACTTTTTTGTATGGTCGTACAAAGTCGTTTGTTTAATTTGCAAGAATTCTGTTGTGATTACAAAGGAGTATAATGTAAAAAGGCACTATGAAACGCAGCATCCTACTTTTACCAAGTTTACAGGCGAATTAAGAAAGCAAAAAATGTTGTCTTTAAAACGGGAGCTTATTGGTCAGCAAGCTATGTTTACAAAACCCATTCAAGATTCAGAAACAGCTACAGAAGTTAGTTATGAAATTTCTCGAATGAGAGCAAAGCGAAGTCGCCCCCTTCAATGATGGGGATTTCGTAAAAGAATGCATAGAAATTGTGTCCAGAAGCAGCAAAAAAGTTTGAGAAAATTCAACTGAATCGTATGACTATCCAAAGACGAATTATGTCTTTGTCAGGTAATATTGCGGAACAATTAAATGAAAAAACTAAGATCGTTGAATTTTTTTCGTTAGAACTCGACGAATCCACTGATATTAGTTCCACAGCTCAACTTCTGATATTCATACGAGGTGTTACTCAAGTTTTTGAAGTCTTAGAAGAGTTATTAGGAATGTGTTCATTGAAAGGTCAAACCAGAGGAGTTGATATACTCAATGTACTTTTGGATGAGTGTTCAAAAACTGATTTGGACTTATCAAAATTATCGGGAGTTGCGACTGACGGTGCTCCTTCGATGATTGGTGTCAATTCTGGGCTAGTTACTTTGCTGAAAAAGCATCTGAAAGAAAAAAACATAAACGCTGAAGATCTCATGCAGTTTCACTGCATTATACACAAAGAAGCCCTCTGTTCAAAAAAAAATTGAATTTCAAAATGTCATGAAAGTGGTAGTTTCGACTGTAAATTTCATAAAATCACGAGGACTCAATCACAGGCAATTCAAACAATTCCTTGATGACATCGAAAGCGAATATGGAGATTTACTATATTATACAGAAGTGAGGTGGCTAAGTCGTGGATTGACACTGGAACGATTTCTAAATTTAATAGAAGAAATTGGAATATTTCTGGCGGAAAAGCAAATGGATGTCCCGAAACTTAAAAATCCTAATTGGTTGTGTGATTTAGCTTTTTTAGTTGATATTACAAATCATTTGAATGTCTTGAACACAAAGATTGTAAGTACTATGCAGTGCCACGCTTCAAATTAATAAATTCTTTTTCAATTTTAATACATTATTATCAATTCTTTATTGTCTTTAACTACCTATACTTCTGGCGGCCCGCCATCAGTTCATAATTTGCCCGAGTGGCCCCTAGTCTTAATAAGTCTGTGCATCACTGCGCTAATGTGTTAAGTATAACTTTTAGCCAATTTCTATTAAGTGGTGTTATGCTAATTATAAAGTACGCACGCTACGCACGTACGTATATTCCTCTAAAAATGTATTCGTATATTATATAAAGAATATACGAATACATTTATAGACGAATATACGCCTCATCTGATGGTAAATATCGATCACCGCTTATTAACTAGTGCAACGCCAGAGAAATCGCCAGTGGTAAACAATGCCACGAAGAAATCAGCGAAAAAGAAAACTTGTAGTAAATCGCATAGTAGTGTGCCGCCAAACATCGCGATCACCATGATGGTAATGTGGGTTTTGTCAAGTGAAAGGAGCTGGCACTGAGGAACACTGGCGCAGAGATGAGAACAGTATTCCATGTGAGGCCGAATCTGCGCCTTGTACAGTTGTAAGCGGTGTGTAGGCATGAAATACTGTCGCGTTCTTTTGAGCATACGTCTTCAGCGTGATGGATCCGTCCCATGGGATGGATCCGGGATTTGCCTCCGATGGGCACCACAGTTGATAGAATAAAAAGCTCCCTTCCCTGAAGTACCACATCAGCGACAGAACCAGCAACAACTTTGTAAACGCGATGGGAGCGTGAGTGGCACTAAGCTCCGGATCAGGCAATGGTTCGAAAAGCCAAGAAGGGCGTCGACGGAGACCTGATATCTGGATGAGAGGTCAGCTGAAGACCCAACAGGGAAAGTGTTTGATCCTCTACATCTGGAATCCGTGTAGGTGAAGTACGGGTACCAAGCCATTCAGTGTTGTCGGTGCTAAAATCACCGAGGATAACGATCTCTGCGGATGGACGTGTTGTAGCACAGAGTCTGCAGCCATTTGGACTTGGTCGATGAGTCGGTCTGTGTCGGCATTACCTATAGAAGCACCCGAAGATGGTCGGCGCTGTCTACGCACAGCCAAAGGATGGACGTATCTTTAATAGTGCCGATGCGTCGAGAACGACCCAAAGGCACAGAGAGGTGTTCCAATTTGTAATCTGGGTAGGAGAGATTAAAAGTACCAGCCAGAGAGGACACCTGCGTATCAGTTAGAAAGAGCAAAACCGGCTGCACCGTCTCCAGATGGTAGTGAACCACGTTAAAGTTCGAATGAAGTCCCCTGATGTTGTTGCAAAATTCATAGATAGTTTGGAAGGGGTCGCTTTTGTTTTGTCTTATTGATCTGCTTGCCCCGAGCAGTTTTAGTCTAGAGCGGAATTTCGCCTTCGAAATTCAGGAAGAGTAGAGTAGCTTGGGCGTGGATGCTCAGCGACGGATCAAGCCAGCTCACCTGTGTGACAGCAAAAGCTGCCGCGTCGCTCTACCACTGCTATATTGTCTACCTATATTATTAACCTTCTTCTAATCTTCTTCGTCATTGCATATTTTTTTACTAGAAAAATTTTGATTTCTGGTGTATGTATAAACACAAAACAATGCTTCAGTGCTGTATTCTTTAATTTTTTTATACATTTCTACCTTTTTTCTCATTCTCCTACTTTTAGGAATATCCGTAGTTTGGAGTATCCATTTTTTGTAATCTAATTAATATTAATATAAAGTATAATTACTAATGTTTCAAAAATAACATTAATCTTTAGACTTTTCTAACAAATTATCTTCCCCGCTATGAAAATTATTTAATTATTAAAAGTAAATCATATAAAAAATTAAAATCATTTAGAAATATATACAAAAACTGTAATGACTGATACATAAACTTGTGAACTATAAGGAATTGACATAATCCTCAATGAGCACAAGCTTTGCCTGTTACTTTTGTAGTTTAATGAAGAAAAAATGTCAAATGAAATAAAATAAAAAATAAGAATAACCTAAGATTTTAAGCAAGAACTTACGTTATTATTTAATAGTAAATGTGCATTTACGTAATTATTTTTGTAAATAATTAAAAATTAATAGCGTATTAAGCACTAACACATATTAAGTGTAGAGCAAAATGAATTTAGCGCGTAAAATTTGCACTTTACCATTTCAAAACGTTAATAAAAATTTATACAGAAAATTAAGAATTTCTGCTTCTCATTATGAATCTTCAACTTACTCACAGCCCCAAGTTCAAGAGGAGAAATTTGATTTTGAGGATTTAAAGATTATAGAGCGAACGGAACGCCGAAAAGCTCAAATTCCGCCGTTTATGAAAAATGTTTTTGTTTCTGTTTTCGATCGAGATTTACTGGCTTATCCAGAGATTTTAAACAAAGAAGAGTCAGAAGCTTTGGACCAAAGAATTGCAGCACTTGACCGTGTATTCTTCGACCCAGAGAAAACAAAAGATGACCGTAAAGCTGTTTTAAAAGGCACCAAAATGTATGCAGCTCCAGTTAACCTTACTAATGGAGGTTTAGCCATGAACCACACTGAAAGTTTAAGGTTTCTCGATACTATAAGTTCGGATTTACAACTGGGACAGGAGTTGAGTGATCACTGGGTCAGCTTGAATGCCTTAAAACTAGGTTTACCTGAGGACTCCTATCAAAAGATCATAGATGATCTAACGTCGGGTGAAAAGACAATAGCATTATGTATAAAAGAGAGGGTAGCTGAGAGAGTTTTACAAGCAGACTTCAGGACTGTGGCTGAAATGGATGGGAGAAGTATGTGATTTTTCATTTTCTAGGCTTTAACAATATGTCATTAAAATAATAATAATTTTTCCAGTTTTGATCTCGTATATTAACTTACTTTAAATTCCCGATGTATCAAGCACTTTACAGCACCCATGGTCATGGGGTGGACTGAGGTGTGAGGATGTCTCAATATCATAGTTGACCACGGTTACCTCTAGTTTAAAATTAATCATATTTAATTTATCTTAACAACTTCCCTATTCACAAAAGATAAAATAGTTCAACAATCAAAATATTCATATATGATTCACGGGACAGTGAAATGGTTAAAATTAAAATTTGTGTAGTGTTCGTGTAAATAAGAAATCAGTTTTTCATTATTTTATTTGAAGCAGAAATATTACATCCTTATCAAACCTTAAACACTCTACCACTGGGCTTGGGGCTCATAGAGGTATTTGTTATACTTTTTTTTATAGGATAGGGTGACACACGAGCAGACAGTCCACCTGATGATAAGTGGTTGCTGTGACCCATAGATATCTACATCTATGCTCATTTGCAAATCAAAATTCAGATGCGTTGTCAGCCATAAGGACTAAGATGGAATGCCTCTTTTCAAGTAAAAAAAGGTCTCCGATTCTCTACACTCACCATACGAAACACAACAGTGTTAAACTACTATTTTACGCTGGTATTCTGTGAGAGCGTGATCCTTCCCCGGTCGAGCCGACCCATTCTTGCTACAACTATACTACCCATATAGCTGCAGCATGGCTCTGCCACGTATAGAATTGCTTATAATTGCTACTGTCTGTAGATAGAAAATTGTTGCAGTACTAGATATTAAACACTTAACACTGTTTCATGTTATTTTTGAGTACCCTAAAAATAGGCCTCCCTATAACCCTTTCGCACCCGAATGAAACGATCGTGAGTTTCTTCTTTGAAAAATTATAAGTTCGCGCCAAATCCGTTTCTCCGCGTTAAACCGACATCGCATGGTCGAGCGCTCATCAATCTATCCAATAGGAAACGGTTTTGGCGTCTAGCGCGATCAGTACCCGCGAGCGCACCGACAAGATGGCTGCGTTTCTTGACCCCGTCACTGGACGCCGTAAGTTATATTTATTTTTTTGCAAATTTCGTAAGAAATCATTGATATTATGATTGTATTACATCATTAAGTATATGATTCATCTGAATGACTATAACTTTCTTCTATATTTTTAGTAATTACCAACTTAATTTACGACAAAATTGTCAGCTCACTGTCGTGATATCTGGGTTGCAATTGTACCAACGCATGATCGTGAGTTCATTCATTTTTAAGTTATTTTTCGATTTATTTCTTTAACTACAGGCATGCCATTGAACAATGACCTCGTCTTGGGCATCCTCAATGATGGTAACTGTTCCGAGTTGGACTTCGACGACGACGATGAACAGTTTATTCCTCTGCAGCTGGAAAATGATGAAGAAGGTGAAGTTGAGCTATCCTCTCCGCCTCGCTTATCTGCGGCAGCTGTGAAATCGGAAAATATTAAAGGTAAAGTGTCTAAAAGGAAGTCTACATCTGATAACATGAATGAGAGTGAAGCAGGCCCATCTTGTTCTAAAAAGTCAAAACAAACACCTTGTTCAAAAGTAACACAAAAATCAAAGGCTGTTATAGTGAAATTGCCTGCTCGTAAAAGGTTATGGAAGAAAACTGATTACATCGATAAATCACATAACTACTCAGGTCATCCACAACCAAATGAAATAAGATCGCCGGTTGAATATTATAATGATTATTATAATGATAATTTTTACGAGCGCATGGCATTGTGTACAAACTTATACTATTTAAGAAAAACTGGGCGAGTCTTAAATACAACCAAACCGGAAATAAAAAAAACTGATTGGTATCCATCTACTGATGGGTATACTATCATATCCCAGGATCGCAATGTACTGGCGAAGAAATATTAAAGTTGACATGATTGTTTCTGCAATGACAAGAGATAGACTGACAACTTTAAGAAACAGTTTGCACGTCGTGGATTCCGACTCTCCACCCGTTTCGGAAGCAAATCTGGAAGGTTCAGCCGATGATCGACATTGTGAGAGAAGGCTGCAACAAAATTCTAAGGACCCCGGGCAGGTATTCGATCGACGAACAAATGATACCTTTCACTGGCAAGTGTCATCTTCGCCAGCTTGTAAAGAACAAGCCTCGCCCAGTGGGTCTTAAGAATTTCGTGGTTACTACTAGTGAAGGGCTAATGGTGGATTTTGAAATATACTATGGCAATAATCCCGCTCTTTCGCATCCTTTGGGGCTTGGACCGGCTGTAGTTCTTCGCTTGAGTCAAAGTGTTCCACGCGGGAGCTGCATTTTTTTTTGACCGATATTTTACAACGGTTCCCCTGTTGGAAGAATTAACGAAAATGGACTATCATGGCACAGGGACAATTATGCTTAACCGGGTACCAGATCGACAGCAGCTTAAGTTCAAAGATGACAAAAAAATGACACGAGGAGAAATTGAACAAAGGGTATCAAACGACGTAGTTTTGGTAAAATGGAAGGACAGCAAGGCGATATTGACAGCATCAAATTGTACTGGGGGCACGGCAACCGACATAGTAAAGCGGTACAATAAAACAGAAAAATGCTACGTCGATGTTGGTGCTCCAAAAATTGTAACATCCTACAACTCTTTCATGGGCGGGGTGGATGTTTTGGACCAATCTATGGAATATTACCGTACATTCATGAAGACCCGTAAATGGACTCTCAAGGTCATACTACACTTTATAGATCTAGCAATGGTAAATTCGTGGCGGCTCTACAGATCTGACTCATTGGCTAAAGGCATTCCTAAAAATCGAATATTAGATCTCCTTTCATTCAGATTTGAAGTTGCTGAGACACACATCTGCACTCCTGACAGAGATCGGCGCGATTCATCCCCATTACTTGAAACGCAGGCACAAACTTCGGGCAGATACAAACCCGCTAATCATCCGTCTGTGGGAAAGAGGTTTGACGGTAACGAACATTTTCCTATTTTTGACGACTTGAAGGCTCCTCGCAAATGTCGCTTAGAGATTTGTTCATCTCGCTCTAAAATTAGGTGCCGTAAATGTGATATTTACTTATGCTTGAGTCGTGATAAAGACTGCTTTTTTTTGTATCACCAAAGAAACTAGTCTTATTTGATAACGTTTCCTATGTAAAGACTGTGATTTAGAAAGATATTTCAAAAGATTATCTAAGTATTAAGTTTTATGTTATTTTTATACAGCCAGAAAGGCTTTTGAGTTGATTTCTATGTTTTTGTGTTAAGTTTTTGTTTCCTAAGAAGCATGACTTTATCTCATTGTTTATTTCGTAAAAATATTTTTGTTTCCTTTCTTTTAATTTCTAAGTTGTCTGCTGAAAGAGCATTTTTATTACAATGAAAACAAAAGACTGAAATTTTGTACCTAAACTGTAATGTTGGCAATAATTAAATAAGTCTTTTCTAATAACCAGATGCGTTTTATTTCATTATAAATATTTTTTGAAGTAAGCTGACATCATCAATGCATTAAAATCTCATCAAAACTTAAAAACGCACGATCGTGAGTTGGTAGAAGTCAGCCCTAGAGCTCACTATCGTGCTATCGACTTTCCAGAGTTCTGGTGTACGCTGGATTTTTTTTACTATTTTTTACATTAATATTACCACTTCTTTGCCAAAATATTATAGTTTTCATTTCAAATCAAAGGAACAAATATCTCAGGTGCGAAAAGGATAAACTACCTAAATAGTAGAGATATTTGTCATAGTCGTAATGTTACTGTTGAAAATTTCACCTGTCAGTGCGTCATGTGCTCCTGGTAGATTATCTTCTATACATCCATCCAACAGCCTATTAAAAGCCCACCGCTGAACATAGGCCTCCCCCATAGATTGCTTCATTTGCCATAGTAGCCACGCTTGCCAGGTGGATTGGCAAATGCAGGTTTTTATATATTTTAGTTGTAATTAAGATTTTTACGTGGTAGAGTCATGCTGCAGCTATGTTAATAGTATAGTTGTACCACGAATGGGTCGGCTTGACTGGGGAAAGACCACACTCTCACAGAATACCAGCGTAAAATAGCATCTTAATGCTGCTATGTTTCGTATGGTGAGTGTAGAGAACTGGAGACCTATTTTACTGGAAAAGAGGCATTCTATCTTAGTCCTCACGGCTAACAACGCATCTGTATTTTAATTCGCAAGTGAAGATAGATGTAGATGTCTATGGGCCGCAGCAACCACTTACCATCAGGTGGACTGTGTGCTCATTTGTCACTCTAATTCTATAACAAATAAAAAAGATCCTGCTGCCCATCTCCTGATTTGTTTACCTCTGTCGCCTCTTACGACACCTATGGAATGATATGGGGTAGTTGATATTCTTGCACCGCCACTACATGGTAAACACTCATGTGTATTAACATACATATAACACTATTTTATTCTGTAAGTCTTTAATTCTTTCTTCTTTTAGTTTAAATTTATATTATATAAATTTTAAATGTTCTCTGCTTATATAAATTGACTGGTAGAGAAGGCCTTATGGTGCCGGACCCCCATTGTACTTTTGAAAAAAATACATACAGCATACTAATGATATATAATAGCTATATAACTGCAGCTACTATAACTCTCCCTTATCCACTGCACCGATCCATTAGTAACATTCCAATTTCAATTTTTTTTTTACAGATGTATGGCGCATTTCCGGGGAGAAAGTATGCACACAGGTCTCTGGTTATTTCTTAGTGTTGTGCACAACACATGATACGGGACATCTCAAAATGTTCCTAGTGCATCCTGGAGCTGAAGGGATCAGTCATGATGACACATATGTATCCTTCCAGAAGACACCAGGTAAGATCTACAATGCAATTGTGTAACTAGTGTATAGAGCGAATCCCTATCCCTTAGCGTTACAGTTTATTAGAGTCCACTGCTGAACATAGGGCTCACCCTTATATTGCCTCATAGGCGGGATTTTGCTATAGTTGTAATGTTACTATTGATTTGAAAATATCACCTCTCATTGGATCATGTGATCCTGGTAGATTATCTTCTATACATCCATATCATCATCATCATCATCATCATTGCAGCCTTTCATAAGTCCACTGCTGAACATAGGCCTCCCCCAAGGAATGCCACAAAGCACGGTCCTGAGCCACCTGCATCCATTGACTTCCTGCATGCCTTACTAGGTCGTCACTCCATCTCGTGGGGGGTCGCCCTACACTTCGCCTACCGGTACGAGGCTGCCACTCGAGAACCTTTCTTCCCCATCGGTTGTCGGTTCTTCGAGCTATATGCCCGGCCCACTGCCACTTCAGCTTACTAATCCGTTGGGCTATGTCAATTACTCTAGTTCTACTGCGGATATCCTCATTTCTAAGTTTATCATGCAGAGAAACTCCGAGCATAGCCCTCTCAATAGCTCGCTGAGCGACCTTGAGCTTCCTCATACGGCCAGCTGTGAAGGACCACGTCTCAGTTCCGTAAGTCATCACTGGCAACACGCACTGGTTGTACAATTTCGTTTTAAGGTTTTGAGGTATGTCTGATGAGAAAATGTGACGTAGCTTCTTGAACGCTGCCCAGCCGAGTTGAATCCGTCGATTGACCTCTCGGTCGAAGTTGGACTTACCTAGTCGGACTATTTGTCCCAGGTAAACATACTCGTCAACAACTTCGAGCTTAGTGTTCCCAACAACTACCGGCGTAGGTGTGACATGGACATTAAACATGATCTTTGTTTTGTCCATGTTCATCTTAAGACCTATCCGTTGGGAAACACTATTGAGGTCATTGAGCATAGTGCTTAGGTCCTCCAGCGATTCTGCCATAGGGACTGTATCGTCGGCAAATCGAAAGTGAGTGATGTACTCGCCATTGATGTTGATACCGTATCCTTTCCAGTCCAGAAGCTTGAAAACGTCTTCTAACCATATACATCCATATATTACAACCTATTAAGTCCACTGCTGTACATAGGCCCTCCCCATAGATTACCTCATAGGGGGGATTTTGCCATAGTTGTAATGTTACTGTTAATTTGAAAATATCACCTCTCAGTGGGTCATGTGCTCCTGGTACATTATCTTCCATCCATCTATCCATTACAGCCTATTAAGTCCACTGCTGAACATAGGCCTCCCCAATAGATTACCTCATAAGGGGAATGTTTGCCATAGTTGCTAAGCTTGGCAAACAGGATGGCAACTGTTTTTGATTTTTATTCATTATTATGAAGACGCTGCTGCCCATCTCCTGGTTTGTTTCCCTCTGTCCCCTTTTACGACACCCACGGGATGATATTCGATAGTGAATATTCTTACACCGCCACTACATGGTAAATTGTGTGTTGTATTGTATTGCAATTTGTATTAATTATTATAAAGTGATTCCCTAACACTTATAATAATAATTAATGCAAATTGATATGGAAGGTAAGTAAAATGCTATGATAATAAAAAAAAGTGATTGCACTGATAATCAACCGGTTTATTAGTTGATTGTGATGATGATTAATAGAATAGAATAGAATAATTTTTAATCAATATTGATTACAAGTAATTCTTATTGAAGGTCATTTGTTTACTATACCACTGTTTTGAAAAAAATCTTCTGTCCTTGGAAGAACCAGCAAAAACCCAGTGGGACTTTTTTAATATAAATTTTACAATACCTAGTCAGGTCATAAGTATTGTCACACAGTAAAAACTTTTCGTTTAGAATGCTGGCCACAAAAAAGTTTATTGAATTCGAATTTCGAATTGTTCATGAAAATAAAACTGTATACTTTTTAGAATTTTACTCATTTTTAAATATGGAGTGGACGCTTAAAGGAGACCGTGTTGCAGTTATTGCGTTGCATCGTTGCGGTTACGCGCCAATTGAAATTTTTGACATACTGAAAAATTTTAATATAACCAAAAGATTCGTTTATCGTACCATCAAACAATACAATGAAGACTAGTATAGATGACAGGTCAAGAAGTGGTCGCCCTCGGTCTGTTAGGACTCCAGCAGTGATAAAAGCTGTGAAGGCGCGAACTCAAAGAAATCCCAAACGTAAGCGGAAACTGTTGGCCCTTCAGATGGGGTTAAGCAGAACCACGGTGAAAAGGGTGTTAAATGAAGACTTAGGGCTTCGGGGATATCGAAGAAAAACAGGACATCGTTTGAATGCTCGTCTAATGGACCTGAGACTGAAGAGATGCCGCGCTTTGTTGAAGCGGTACGCGGGAAAAAAATTTCGAGAAATTATTTTTTCGGATGAAAAAAGTTTTACCGTAGAAGAGAGTTACAACAAACAAAATGATAAGGTGTACGCACACAGTAGTGAAGAAGCGAGCAACCGTATTCCGCGTGTCCAACGAGGTCATTTTCCATCCTCGCTCATGGTATGGTTGGTAGTTTCTTATTGGGACTTAACAGAGGTACATTTTTGTGAGAAAGGTGTAAAAACGAATGCAGTTGTGTATCAAAATACAGTCCTGACGAACCTTGTGGAACCTGTTTCTCATACCATGTTCAATAACAGGCATTGGGTATTCCAACAAGATTCGGCGCCAGCTATTAGAGCGAAGAGCACACAAGACTGGCTGGCGGCGCGTGAAATCGATTTCATCCGGCACGAAGACTGGCCCTCCTCCAGTCCAGATTTGAATCCGTTAGATTACAAGATATGGCAACACTTGGAGGAAAAGGCGTGCTCAAAGCCTCATCCCAATTTGGAGTCACTCAAGACATCCTTGATTAAGGCAGCCGCCGATATTGACATGGACCTCGTTCGTGCTGTGATAGACGACTGGCCGCGCAGATTGAAGGCCTGTATTCAAAATCACGGAGGTTATTTTGAATAAACTTTAGGGTCATAAGAATCTATGTTTTGTTAAGTTCATTTTGGTATATAAATGGTTACATAATGAATAAACTTGTTTCAATTATTTTATATTAAACATGTAACAGAATTTATAACCTGACTAGGTATAAATGATTACAAACTATGTACAAAATTTATTTTAAAAACAGCTTGGAAGTGACCACCTCATGCAGGGTTTATTATCAACCATGTATTCATTTATATTATAATAACCCTTTTTATACAGTTTTTGTGTATTTAAATATTTAAACTTGGTAATAGAGAGCACTTACCTTGTATATTATCTGGGACTTTGTTGTAATAGTGTATATATTGCCCCAAGAATGAATTACTGACTCTGTGGTGTTTGTTCCTGGTGTTAATTTTGTATATCACTTGTTTTACTAAAACTACCTTTGTTTTTGTGAACATACATTAAATTCTCGTAAATACACTGAGAAGCCAAAGTGAATATACTTATTTCTTTAATTTTTTCTTTAAGAGACTCTCTCAGCTCAAGTTTGTAAATAGCTCTTATGGCCGTCTTCTGCAAAACAAAAATTATTTCTAAATCAGCCACATTTTCCCATAGCCAAATCCCATAAGACATTATCTTGTGGAAATAACAGAAATAAACTAATCTAGCTGTCTCGACTCTAGTGAAATCTCTAATCTTTTTTACAGCATAAGCTGCAGATCTTAGTCTGCTTGCTAGTTTGGATATTTGTGGACTGAGGCTTTGTGTCGAGATTGATGCCAAGAAAAACAGAGGATTCAACAGGGCTCAGTTCTTCCCCATTTAAAAACACATTTATATTCAGATTTTTAACATTCATTGTTGTAAATTTAATACATTTAGTTTTATTGCCGTTTAAATGTAGATTATTAACGTTAAACCAATGTACTAATTTTGATATAGCATTATTCACTTTGTCACATTTAAATGATAGACGTTTAAGTTTAAAAATCAAAGAAGTATCATCAGCAAATAATACTATATCACGATTATCCCCTACAAGAGAAAGTAAATCATTAATATACACTAAAAATAGGAATGACCGAAGAATCGAGCCCTGAGGGACACCCATTTTTACGGACGACCCGGAAGAACTTTTACCATTGATAATAACTTTCTGCATTCTATTACTTAAATATGAAATAATAAGTTTAAGCGCTGTGTTCTTGATAGCATAGCACTGTAGTTTATTGATTAATGTCTCATGGTGAACACAGTCGAGGGCTTTGGAAAAATCATAATACACCCAAAGCATCCTCTGAATTCTCCCATGCATAAAAAATATGTTTTATAATTTCGACTCGGGCATCGAGCTACCCCTTGTAAAACCAAACAGATTTTTATGAAGCAATTAATTTATATTAAAAAAAAAACTTAACATCTCATCTAACATAATTTTTTCAAAAATTTTACTTAAAAATGGTAGTACAGAAATTGGTCTAAAATTGGCGGGGTCTTATGTACTACCAGATTTAAATAAAGGTATGACTTTACTATATTTCATTAGATCAGGAAACACACCAGATTCGATGCTTGTATAAAAAATTGTGGCTAGATAAGGTGTGATTGTATCTATTATAGATACAATAACTTTAACCGGTTCAGTGCGAACGGCACGCCATGCGTGCCATCGATTATTTTTGTGTGTGGCGTATGACACGCGAGTCGTGTCTTTAAAATCGTTAAAACTCGTTTGGAATTGGAATTACATTTTTGGAAGATTTATCCAGAACAAAATATTCATTATTTTGCAAGTAGTTCATGCCTACAACTTCGTTTCTGAATCTTTTGAAAGTTTCAAGTTTTTAGGGGTTGACAACCTTTTTTTAACTTGTACATGGTACTCTTTTTACTTTGTGTGTTTTAAATCATGTTGTGGAAAAATAGTCTAATAAGTAACAAATAATAGCACTAATTCCGATCGCTCACAAACTCAAGTTGTAAATAAACAGAAAAACAAGTCTCCTGTTAAAAAAAATAATGCGTTTGTCTTATTGTTTAATTTTGCTTAAAATGGTTGAACTGCCGTCTTATTACTATCATACGGCCGAATAGACCTACGAAGTATCATGTGCTCTCATGATATGGTATAAGCTTTATTTTTGTTTGAAACAGTTCGAAACCGATCATGTATAAAAAAAAGTTCGCTAATAAATAGTCTGTTGTCAATCCGCCGTCGTATAGCGCCGGCGTTTTTTTCCTTTTGAAAATACTTGTTGTGGTATTCTTACTAATTAGACGTTTTCAGATCGACTTTACTTTTACATTTGTATAACATTAAATAATATTTAACATTTATAAATATCAATGAATCATAAACCTCATTATTTTCCAAATTAAAATTCTTGATTGTTTGATATTTACAAATATTATTATTAGGTGAAAATTTAATTTAATAAAAACGAATGTTTTCCAGGGTGATTTAGCTGTACCTACTTATATAAATGATTTTTTTATAAAACAAAAAATAGTACAAAAGGTTTGTAATCTCTGCATAAAAAAAGTCACTTACTCTCAATTTCAAAGAAAACACGTAGAAAAACACGTAGTTACCCACTAAAAACAAGTATCCTTCCGTTTGTAACTGATGTTTGATGTCAACTAAATTTAATTAGGTCTTAACAAGTGAAAAAAGCATAAAAAAGAAAATTATTTTTACACATGGCTGATGGCACAATAGGCGTGTCATCAACTTCTGTGAGGTGTACGCAGTGCTCCTATCTTTCTTTGTTGATCTGAGACGTAGGGATGTAGGGTTTAATTGTGATAGTGATAGTGCACATAATTTTGGGAGAGAAGGTGTGTTGGGGTAGTGGGATTATCAAACAAAGTATCACACATAGATCAGAAGAAAACTAAAAAAAAACGAATGAATTTTCAAATCTTAAATACTTACTTACCTATAATTATGATATGTAAATTTTGTATTGCATGTAAAATGTTTATGCTTTTCTGCCAGGTATACCCTTAGATATTGTGACGGAAGAGAATCTAGCGAAGACCCTTGGTGTGTCCAGGCTTCACACTGCTGCCCTCTGCCGTGCAAGTTTATTGCAGGCCATGCAAGCTGTTGCCGACTACATACGGCCAAGGATATTTGCAGGTGGTTTTAAAGTTATAAGCTCTATTTTTGTAAAATAAATTAATTATAATAATATATAATAAAAGCCTTTATTCAGACACCATATGGAGCCATGCTACAGCTATATTACTGGTATAGTTGTAGCACGAATGGGTCGGCTCGACCGGCGAAGGACCACGCTCTCTCAGAATACCAGCGTAAAACAGCAGCTCAATGTTGCTGTGTTCCGTATGGTGAGTGTGGAGTACCGGAGACGCCTTTTTACTGGAAATAAGGCATTCCATCTTAGTCATCAGGGGTGATAACGCATCTGTATTTTGCTGCAATCATCCACTTACGATCAGGTGGACTGTGTTTTTTTTTATAGGATAGGGTGACAAACGAGCACACATACTCCACTTGATAGTAAGTGTGCTCGCTTGTCACCCAATTTTATATATATATATATATTAGATATTAAGGATTGGAAACCAATACCCGCAGAGTTCCTTTTACCTTCAACTTCTACATCGGCCCGTCCACTGCTAGACTTGGGCCTCTCCCGTTTTAAGGAATACCTTAAGGCATATTGACATTCGCAGCACCAGACGTGAACACCTTTGACGCTTCCGTCAGTTGTTGATCTCTGATGCTGAGTATTTTATGTCTCGTCTAAACAAGATCGTTATACCGCCATCTAGGCGTAGCCATTTTTTCTGTTTGCTTATTTCTCAATGACTTGTGCTATTTTTTCTTTAGTAAGGAACTCGTACGGTTGTGTTTTTGCCAATGTTAACTTATGAGAAATTATCTAATACAATGATTTATTTCAAACAATTTGATGGCAACTTCAGCCATTTTCAAGACGCCTTTCACTTGAACTAACTCGATGTTACACAAAATCTCATCACTTTTACGTATCAAAATCCATTTTAAACAATGGTTAATAAAAGCCTTTTGCTTTTCCTTAATAAAGGAAACATAAAAAGAGCACCAATGACACTTGTTTGTCGTTGATGACACATTGCGAAGATTTTGAAAGATTTTAGCGGCATCTTCAGCCAGCAGACAGACGATGACGATACACGCAAGAGGCCTCTTCAGAGTACCGTCACTGTTAGGCCTAACAGACACATTGTTTAAATGAACATCTGAATTGTTTTATACATGTCAAAATACATTTCAAACAATTAAGTAAACGATAGAACACTGAGCAACAATCCGTTAGCGATCAAGTTCCCGCCAAATACCTATTTGTGTTATCTACCAATAACATAAACAATTTTTTAAATTTATTTATATAATTATTTTGACGGTTTAAAGGTAAAGGAATCTATCCATACAGCCTACTTTGACGTGGATTTTGTTGGCGAGAGTTTTAACATTATCTTATTTTAAGTAATAAATCATTATCATAAAAAAATATACAACGAGTTGCGGTGTGAGTTACATAATTGCTGATCTTCAAACTTCTCTACCTGCCAGGAAAACCACTGTCGGAAATATCATCGATACGGTCGGTGATAGGCGAAGCCTTGATTAATATATATGCCTCAGAGAGTGCCGAGTACTTCACAGCCGGTCTACTAGACGGGTATATGGAGCCTGATGCTGAACTGGAAATGGCTATGTGCAGGTTAGATGCTCTGTGATACGTTTTGTCTCTTTTAACTTTTTAAGCAAATAACTTACGGTTATACGTGGTGGAGCAACGTTGCAGGCGTAGATCGAACCAAAACTTAATAATTAAGAGTTGAAGGTAGCGTTCGTTAACTACACATCGTTAACTACATATGACATCGGGACGTCAAACACCTTAGTCCCCCGTGACCATTGGTGCCGTAAAGTGCAGGAAACTTCGGGAATTAAAAAAGATAAAATGTATACCGTTACAGTCTATTAAAGTCTACTAATGAACATAGGCCTCCCCTATAGATTGCCTCAAACAGGGGATGTTTGCCATAGTTGTAATGTTACTGTTGATTTCAAAATTTCACCTCTCAGTGGGTCATGTGCTCCTGGTAGATTATCTTCTATACATCCATCCATTACAGTCTATTAAAGTCCACTGCATGAACATAGGCCACGCCCTTAGACTGCCTCACAGGGGGGATTTTGCCATAGTTGCCACGCTTGAGAAGCAACCGCAGTTTTCAACCGACTTCAAAAAAAGGAGGGACTTCTCAATTCAACTGTATTTTTTTATGTGTGTTACCTCAGAACTTTTTTTCTAGCTGAATCGATTTTGAAGATTCTTTTTTTATTTCAATACTGGTGCTTCTCGTGTGGTTCCATGTACATTTGATCAAGATATGACCAGTAGTTTTTGAGTTATCCTTAATAATACGTATTTAATTGACTTCGACTGCATTGATGATGTTCTCATCTTATTTATATTACAGTCGATTGTACATAATTTTTAATTTTACCACTTGTTCAGTTTTAGTCGTTATCAGGAAGACGCTGCTGCCCACCTCCTGATTTGTTGCCGCCTCTTACGACACATCACTTAGGACTATAAATTACCGGCACAACTTTATTAATGAAACAAAAATTATTTTTGTGCACAATTCTTTCCATAAATTGATTCTACGTTGTCATTTGCAATGGTATTTTTTTTCCTATATTTCCATCACTTCCAAACAACATATGGATTTTTTGATTTATTATAAACCAGCGCTCCCTTCCCACCTTCCCATCTGATGGTAATCGGTGAAGCAGCCGTAGAACGTAAAGCACACTGACCTAGTTAAAGGGTGCTACCACACCAATTGATCGATCGTCAATGTTGGCATCAATCTATGGTACAATGAATAACGACGTCGATCGATAGTTTCTACTTCACCGATCGATCGATGGCAGAATGCATTAGTCGATGTCGATCTATAGCTTCTACCACACTGATCGATCGATGGTAGAATGGATTAGTCGACGTCGATCTATAGTTTCTACCATACCGATCGACCGATGGCAGAATGGATTAGTCGACGTCGATCTATAGTTTCTACCACACCGATCGACCGATGGCAGAATGGATTAGTTGACGTCGATCTATAGTTTCTACCATACCGATCGACCGATGGCAGAATGGATTGGTCGACGTCGATCGATAGTTTCTACCACACCGATCGACCGACGGCATCGATTGATGGTAGAATGGATTATTCGACGTCGATCAAGCTACTTGATTATTCAAGATATGAGCCCACAACCACATCGATTAATTGTCGATCGATGATTGAACAACGTTTTATCGACCAGTATTCGTCGATCAGGTAAAGCTGCCACACCAATCCATCGACATCGATCGATTGTAATTACCTGCTAATCGTGATGATTAATTACTATAACCACCCTACTAAGTAAAGCCTGTACCCAGAAGTGGGCTAGTTGACGAAGATGGGCACTCATCTTTATAATCTCCTTCCAGGAATTTCATTGCACAGAACGGACTGGACACGTTACTAAAATTGATTGCGATACCGAACGTCGAGATGAAAGCGGAGAGCAACCAGCTTTTGGACAACATGAGGTCACTCACTCTGAGGGGAGAGACCATAGACAGTGTCAATATGTACATAGGTATTGTAACGCCATCTTCTGTATATTTTTGACCAATTGTTTTAAAGTCAAAATTTGAACATATTCAAAATGCATGCATGCATGGGATGTTCGACCGGAGAAGGACCACGCTCTCACAGAATACCAGCGTAAAATACGAGGGCGGCACTGAAAATTTCGGGAATCAAGGAAGTGACACAACATTACTATTTAAAAATGTATTTATTGCTTTTCGAAGTATTCTCCGCAAAATTTGACACATTTTTCCATACGATGGAACCAATCATTGAAGCAACCATTCCATTCGGAAGTTGGGGTCTCCAAAATGGCCGTTTTGTAGGCGTCCACAGCTTCTTTAGGTGATGAAAATCTCTGTCCACGCAATTTATTCTTTATTTTAGGGAAAGTATAGAAATCATTAGGGCTTAGGTCGGGGCTGTACGGCGGATGGTCTAATAATTCTATGTTTTCTTGCTCTAAAAACTCTTTTGTTCTGTGTACGGTGTGAGAACTCGAATTGTCGTGATGGAGGATGATGCGGCGGTTGCAGTTCTCTTTACGAAGTTCAGAAACTACCTGTGGCAAACAAATGCTAGCATACCATTCTGCATTAACCGTTCTTTGTCGCTCAAGAGGAATAGTCGTAACATGGCCGGTTTTGGAGACAAACGTGGCCACCATTTTTATTGCAACACTCCGTGAACGAACAATTTTTGTTGGCTTTAACTCATTTTCGAACACCCAAACTCGTGACTGGTTTTTTGTTTCGGGTTCGTACGCGTATATCCAGGATTCGTCACCTGTACGATGTTGTATACAGCATTTGAGGATCCTGCGTGGAATCTTTCGAGAGTTCTGACACACCAAGTAACGCGAGCCGCTTTTTGCTCTTCACAGAGCGAATGCGGTATCCATCGGGAAAACAACTTTTTTACACCTAATTGTTCATGCAAGATTATTTGTGAAAAATTTGCAAAAAATTAAAGAGCAAGCCACTGACGCATTGTTTTGTGTATTAATATAATACTCTAGAAACTGATAAACGTTTATTAAAAACCAACTTCTCAATTAAATTACATTGTGTAACAAAAATCTTTACCTCGGTGTCAACTAGCGACATCTGGCGAGCAGAAAATTATTAGTCCTCATTATCTGTTCTTCAAAGTTCGTGAAAAGCCGTTTCTATATGCCTTATTACCACTTTTTCTTAATTCGCTTTCGTGTATGTCTGTCTGTTCGGGTCGAATTTAGTAATTGATTTTAAATTTTGATATAATTAAATTTTCCCGATATGCTAGAGACTAACGGGTGTATTCATAATCATTTTTAAACAGTTCATTAGTTAAAAAGTGTTTTGTCTCATTCTGACATTTGCGAGATACTTGTTGCTAGAAAGTGACAAAACACTTTTTAACTAATGAACTGTTTAAAAATGATTATGAATACACCCGTTAAATTTTAAACATACTTTAGAATCGGATGACAATGTAGGAATATGAAAAAAAAAATATTTAAAAAATGTTTATCCGTAATTTTTTCAAATATTATCGGGCAAAACTATACAAAGTTCTTGTACTTCTAGCACTAAATGGAATACACCACGCCGGTACAAGGATGGCGGAAGAGATCAAACAGATCAGGAACCCGCTCTTCAACCCCTCATACATCCTGAAGAAGATCCTGGCAGATAGGCATCAGGTGCGTAATGTTACCCTTTGTTCCAGATGTTATATTTTAGTTATACGAATGGTTCGCGGCGTAGGACCACACTCTCAGAAATTAAAAATATTAAAATTAAACGCTATAAAATCCGTAAAATATATTTTGTTCCGTGTGTGGTATTCGCGTAAATATAAGAAACTATTATACTAAAACATTCGTTATTAACTATATATTCAAAGAAGAAAAGAGTTTATTCCTGTTGGACATAAGTTTCCGTTTTGCAGAAACGTCCTCATGGAACATTACTTCGTGAGCGACATACTACAGCTATGTTACTTGTATAGTTGTGATACCAGCATAATTAGCAGCTTAATGTTGCTGTGTTTCGTATGGTGAGTGTAGGGAGCCGGAGACCCTTTTTCCTGGAAACGAGGCATTCCATCTTAGTCCTCAGAGGTGACAACACGTCTTGCATTTTAATTCGTAATCGAGGATAGATGTAAATGTCTATCGGCCACAGCAACCACTTACCATCGGGTGGACTGTGTGCTCATTTGTCTCCTTTATACTACGTGTAAAAAAAAACATGATGCAACACGCAACTAGAGTCTGGCAAACGAAAGTAGGGACTGAAAAAACGTAGCAAATTTAAAAAAAATCTCAGCTAAGCAACCCCGTAATTTGTATGAAGTACCTGGAATATCCTGACTTGATACTTTTATAGTTGTTTTTGTGTAAACAATATTTGTACACTACTGCTTGACAGCATGTGGACGAGGTACAAAAATAGGAACCTACGATACCTGTTGTATGTAAAGTCGTATTTTTAATCAGATGAAGTAAACTGAAGTTTCGAGGTGTAAAATCATGTTCACCATTATGATCCAAACCAAAGAGATATTTCGTGCGGTGCATTTCAAAAATCAGTTTACTTTTAAGACTAGGTATTATGTGATAATATCTGAATTAAAAAAAAACAATATTCTATAATAATTTTGGTTTATTCACTACCATAATCGAAATCGGAATCTAGGATTTCCATAGAAATGGAAAGATTCATTTGACCCACTGGAATCACTATCTCCAACATGAATAACAAAACTTTCTGAATTATCTTCTGTTGTTCTATCCCTTTCTTTATATTTATTTTTAATGTAAATTACATGGTCAGTCATTTTCTGCCGTTTCTGTGGAGTTATGCTTTCAATAAACTTTTTAATAAGTCTCTCTAACTCCACAGCTACTTTACGTTTATCCAAACTCCATACCAGCTCAATGGCATTTAGATTGCAGTGGTATGGGGGAAGTACCTCATGCCCATTCTGCTTCAGAAGTTCATCAGCTTCATATACTGGTTGTGGTGTGTTTCGTTTTACAAGACATAGCTGCTCTGCTTTTGTGTGATATTGTTCAAATGGAATATCATTCAAAGTAAGCCATTATCTTATCTCATATTTGCGACTTTGTGATATAGGAGCTTTATTTACAATGATTGAATGGTAACTGGCATTATCCATAAGTAATACACTCGGCTCATCTAAATTGAGTATGAGCTTTTCTCTTAGCCATTAATTAAAGTTAACGGCACTCATGTCGTGGTGCTAGTCAGCCATTTTAGATTTAGATTTAGATTTAATTGAAATAAATTTCAATCGCACCAGTTGTAGATGGACCTTGCCAAGGCTTTTTGGGCCTGAAGTTTTTATGAATATAGGTCTCATCTAAATAAATGATTGGCTTTCCTTATCTACGTTTCAAAGCCATGGTTCTTAAAAACCGATGTCTCCGGGCAGATATGTCATAACGTTCAATTAACAATGAACGCTCATTTTTATTTCTCTTAAATTCGTAGCCATTAGACAATAATTAATGGCGAAGGGTTTTCCGGCATCCATTAAATCCAATGCTTTCTCTTAATTTCAATAACAGATTTATCAACTTAGGACCTTGTTTTCTAACGATGTAAAGTTTGTTAATTTTGTTACGAATAGCATGTATATCAAAACTATCTAGGTTGGAGACTGTGGGTATTATGTGGCCGTTTTTTCCCTGGGGTATTCCAGTCACCTTCGTTTACCACACCTTCCTTTTTTATTTTTTTTTTAATGTTGTAACACTCACTTCTGTAAAGAGTGATGCAACAGAATGATTAGGTGCTGCATTTTTAATAGCAAATCATGTACTTAGTAAATTATACCGCTGTAAAACATAAGTATGTATTTAGTAAAAACTTGTCTGTGATTGTAGCTGTTTCATCCAAGTACTTCTTCTGCGTTCTTATCATGTCTTTCCGCTCCAAATCAGTACGTTTTTCAATAATTTTCACTATATCATCAACCTCTGCTACATTCAGATTTTCTGTAAAATAAAACAATGTCTCTAAAAATTACAACGCAACACAATACATAATAATGCACTACAATGCATAATAATGCACAACAACGCATAATAATGCATTATAATGGTGGTGTTTAACGTAATTTAAACAGAATGTGAACCAAACAGAGAAATAGTTTTTGTAAAATCATAAATAATAATTACGAATACAAACAAAGTATCAAGATCAAAGTGACTAACCTACGAAATCCAACACCGCACGTAAAAAAATCTTGGTTGTAATTGAATTAACCGTCTTTCTCCTGTTGTTTTTCTTTAAACTTCGAAATCATGCGGAACAACATCTCCCGCACTCCACTTTTAATCAACAATCACACGCCATCTTGTTTAACAAATTGAGATGGAGATAAATAAAACATTGCCATATGAAAAATTTGCAAATAATTCGAGTGTCTACTTTCATTTGCTAGACTATAGCTGTCTTTACAATATATTCTACTCTATATGTATTTTTTTTCAGGAGAAGGATCAACCAAAGCTGACTCTCTACCTAGCGGAGCACCTCCATCCATCTCTGCGGGTACCCTCGGAACAGTTGGAGTACTGTGTGTTGAGGATGAAGTTTGCGTGCGAGACCCTCATGGCCCGGCATGGTATGGAAATATCTAAGGCTTACACGTAAGTATGGGAATGTCTTAAAGATTTTATGTAATCACAGACCTACAAATAAACAGACAGAACATTATGTAATTTGTACTATATACGAAATTTGACCTGCTGAAAGTTCAAAAACTTTATTAAAACTAAGTTTGTATATTGTATATGTATTTGTATGTAAAAGGGTTATTATAATATTAAGGAAGTTATGGATAATAACCCCTGGGAACGAGGTGATCGCTGCCAAGCCATTTCTACTTTGTTTTTTGTTGTTAATTGTGTAACATATAAGATTGTAAGCAGTTATTTTTTTTAAAAGTCCCGCTGGGTTTCTTGCTGGTTCTTCCCAGCACAAAGGTTTTTTTCCGAACCAGTGGTAAATTAAACAAAAAGGACATTACAATAAGTATTGTTTATAATGTATCTATATAAATAAAATGATAGAGGTTTGCAGTTGTCCGCGCATCACAGAAAAACTACTGGATGGATTTAAATTACCTTATCCTAAAAAAAAAATATTGCGATATCTTCATTTAATATAAAGTTATTAAAGTTTTAAGAAACAACGGATTTTTATAAGCACTACGTGTTCAGTGATGTGTGTTTTCTTGATATAACAAGGAACACGGACGAAGTCGGGGTTATCAGTTAGTATTGAATAAAAAAGTGTCTGTTTCTACTGTACAGACATAATAAAGACGATAACGATCCCCGCCGTTACCGTTACATACACGTCATAGAGGTGGAATTTTGCCATAGTTGTAATGTTACTGTTGATATAAAAATTTCACCTCTCAGTGGGTCATGTGCTCCTGGTAGATTATCTTCTATACATCCATCCACTATAGCCTATTAAAGTCCACTGCTGAACATAGGCCTCCCCCATAGATTGATTGCCTTTGAAAAATCTCTCTTTAATCTTTTAAAAGAAATCCAAAAAACATAACTTTTTGGATATTCACAAAAAAAACCAAGATTTTTAGGTAAATTATAACCTAGAATCTAGGTTATAGATCAACTACTAGCAATGCTCTCTGTATGTTCGTGAAGTCACAGACAGACAAAAAATTTAAAAATGCATGTCTTAGTTGATCTTCTACAAATAAACCCCAGAGCTCAATAAAAGGCAATTATTTCTGTATTACAAACAGACACTTAAATTTCATTCATATGTATAAATATTAGATACTACTGGGTTATTTTTCGAAGGGTATCCTAATTTTATATTTAAGTTCAAATACTTAATTTCAAATATATCCCAAACTGAATGAACGATACAATACAATACTCTTTATTGTACACCAAGAAAAGATAAAAATATCAAAAAGAAAAAATAAACAGCTATTGAAGGATATACATAGGGCGGTCTTATTGCTACATAGCAATCTCTTCCAGACAACCCAGAATAAGAAAAATAAAAAAAAATTGCGATTCAATTCGCAACGTTTTTTCCAACCGAGCGACACTTACGAGTGTACGCGTGTGTAGTAAAATAGTAACTAAAATAATGCACCACCACGCTGAATTTAAAAAAAGGACATAATGTTGGAGATTTTTTTTTAATTATTTCTTCACCATTCGCCTATATTACTTATTCTGAACCTTCTCTGTAAATTTGGGTGTACAAGTATATTGCAAAATAACCATGTATACAACCATGAATAATTTTTTTTTCCAGGGAGTTAAATAGACTCGCCGAAGCAGCTACCGAGATATTAGTTATGACGGCCGTATTGGCGAGGGCATCGAGGTATGGTTCACTTTATTAATTTCTTTATTTTCTGTATCTAGGTCGAATTATATTTGTCTCGAAGAGGTTATTTGATGGATCCAATTGGATTCAGCTGGGAGGCCTTCGCGAGAAGACACGTTTTGAAATCACATCTTTTACGTGGTAGAGTCACGCTGCAGCTATATTATAGTTGTAGCACGAATGGGTCGCACTCGATGGAACACGTTCAGAATACCAGCGTGAAATAGCATCTCAATGCTGGTGTGTTTCGTATGGTGAGTGTAGAGAACCGGAGACCCTTTTTATTGGAAACGAGGCATTCCATCTTAGTCCTCACGGGTGGCAACGCATCTGCACTTTGACTGTAATCGAGAATAGATATAGATGTCTATGGGTCACAGCATCCACTTACCATCAGGTGGACCGTGTTCCCGTTTGTCACGCTTATTAAAAAGTTAACTATATACGGGAAATATAATAAATACTTTATCCCACAGGGCCTATTGTATAGGCTTAAGGAACGCGGAAGTGGAAATGAAACTGGCTGCGTGCTTCGTGGAGAAGTCCAAAGAACGAGTGAGGAAGTTGATACTGGAGATAGATGATGGGGAATATCTCAATTTGGACCACTTCAAAGTGCAATTCGGCAGGAAAGTGTTAGATACGAAGTCTATACTCGTGGAAAAACCTACCGCGCGAGTGTTTTGGTAGTGTAATTAAAATGGAGCTAATGTTGCCAGTTGTAATACTTCAGAGCGGTATGTTGCCATGTAAGCATAGAATTTTTAATTTAATGAAATATTTTTCTAAATTATTTATTTTTGTTAATTGTTATAAAATCATAAATGCGCTGTCTGTACTAGAAGGTCCCAACACATTATATAACCCTAGAACTGACAACTGTTTACAAAAGACTCCTCCAGTTGCAGCCTGGTTTTCTCTAACGCATTGCTTGGTGACCCCTGGATGGAGTGGTGACCTAATAAAACATGAACAGTTGGTAGATGTAGGTGGCTCAGGACTGTGCCTTGAAATGTCTATTTTCAGCAGTGCTTGTGTATTTCTTTTTAAATAATTATTGAAATTAATTTACGTGCCTTGTAGTAGCGGCGTCTTAAGATAATTGACTACATAATACAATCCCGTGGATGCCGTAAGAGAAGACAGAGGGAATTGAAACGGCAGATGAGCGACAGCATCTTCCTGACAACTCAAAATAATAAATAATGCGGTTGCCAAACCGCTTGCCAAGCATAGCAACTATGATAAATATCACCCCTATGAGGTTTTCTATGGGCTTTACTTAAGTAGTGGATTTTTGCAAAGCATAATTAATTATTAATTTTACCATGTAATTTATCCAAACAACCGGGGAAATATTTTACAACTGGCAACATTTCATATATGGTGATCGACATATTTGTCACACTGTCTGTGAATTTAGTACTAGAAATAAATGTTAAACAAAAATTTATTTCATTTTTTACCCTTATTAATCTCTGTAATTTTATTAACAAATAAACACAATCTACCCGATGGTAAGTGAATGCTGTGTGTGGCTTATAGACATTACATCTATACTCGATTAAGAATCATACGTGTTCCCTTGGCGACTAAGATGCCTCGTTTCTAGTAAAAAGAGTATCCGGTTCTCTCTACTCTCAGTACACAAAATAGCAGCCTTAAGCTGCTATTTATTGTTCTTTATTTTTCAATCACAATCTTTGTTTAGTACCAAAACAACACTAAACTTTGTTTAAATATCTTAAACACTACTATCACAGTAAACCTAACATACAACAGATAAACACTAACTCAACTTCATACAAACGTTCAAATTAAATTAAAAGTGACAACCCTAATGATCTAATGGAGTATAGGTAACAAGGGTTTACAGTCTAACTCACTAGATGTCGCTACAAGTAGATGCCGTAGACTATAGACATCCACATATTTCCTCCGTTTAAAATTAAAATACAGATTGATTGTCACCAGCGTTGCACTAAGACGAGACGTGCAAGACACAGTATGTTTGTTTACAAGAGGTAAAATTAAAATTTTTGTACAACCGACTTCAATATAAATTATTAAGAATAACACAAAAACTACTGGTCAGACCTTTTTCAAATTTATATGGGACAACATGAGAAGCACCAGCTTACAAATAAATAATTTAAAATTTTGTACAGCCGACTTCAATATAAATTATTAAGGATAACTCAAAAACTACTGGTCAATTCTTGATCAAATGTATATGGGACCACATGAGAAGCACCAGCTTTCGAATAAAAAAAGATTCATCGAAATTGGTTCACCGAGAAAGAAGTTATGAAATAAACTCATAAAAAAAGCATACAGTCGAATTGAATAACTCTTCCTTTTTGAAATCAGTTGAAAACCAATCTTGTCAGCCTCGAGCACAGGCGCAGAGCAGCCAGCATCTCGGTATTCTATAGGAAGCATTTCGGAGAGTGCATAGGACTATTGTTGGCAGGTGGTCGACGGGTCCTTTGTTGTCGATATTCCACTCATTAGAACCAAACTACTTGCTTCGTCTATCATAACGCGTGCAGCAAAAGAGTGGAAAAATTTGCCGGCGTCTGTCTTTCCGTCCGAATACAATATGGGCGTCTTCAAGGCAAGAGTGAATAGGCTTTTGTTACGCTAAGACAGTGCGATTTACCATCTAGGGCTGCATCACCACTTACCACCAGATAGGATTGCAACCAAGTACTGGCTTATAATAAGTAAAAAAAAACTGGCCGACTGAAATGAACTCCCACATAATAACATTAAAATAAAAACACAGTGTTGCCATTTTAAAAATATATTTAAAGTATAAAAAATATTTTTCCATATACAAAAATATTGCACTTAAATCTAAATGAGTTCCAACATAATTGAATTTAAGAAAGAGACCTCGTGATCTAAGGCCATACAACGCTCTCTATCCAGGGTACATAGGCCGACACCTTGGTGTATATCCCCGGCTCCCCGATGAACCCGCAAGCCCTGCCGAACGACGTCACCCCCACCACTGTGTACATGCAGTGGATCTTCTTGTTCTTCAGCTGCAGTGGACCGCCACTGTCACCCTGTATATGGAACGGATGAGGTTTATAATGAGGACCGTACCGGCATTTATAACTTAAATTGTAAAGTCCCTCGGAGAAACGTTACAAGAAATAAATACCCAATATTTGTATATTTATGAAAGTGTAATGTATGTACATAGCAACATAAGTAGCTTTGACAACAATAAAGATGTGCATACTTTAAACACTAGGAACAAACATAAGCTTGTAAACATCAGTTACTAGACTTCACAGAATGAGGGCATCCACGACTTTCTGCCACCAGGGCGGCGCCACTTAAAAGAGATATTTGATAGATAGGACAGATAACGGGGAAGTTAATTTATTCGGAAAATGTAAAGGTTGATGTTTCTTTCTGTGGTATTAGCTATATTTTATATTAATAAGATTAAAAATAAATAAACCAAATTCCTATAATTGGTATAAAAATTTAAAAAAAAATAGTTATAAATATGCAAAAAAAAATAAAGAGTAAACCACTGAGGCATTGTTTTGTGTATTAATATAATACTCCTGAAACTGATAAGCTTTTATTAAAAACTAACTTCTCAAATGACATTGTGTAACAAAAAACTACCTCAGTGTTAACTAGCGACATCTGGTGAGCAGAAAGTTATTAGCCCTCAGTAGTAATTCATTTACGGGACAATGTATACTCTTTTAAAACAAGAGTTTAGAAATTTTACAAAGTTTGACAATAAACAACTTTAAACATTTTATTTTAAAAAATCTGTACAAAAAGAGTTATTGTAATGTTAAGGTATAAATAAAAATAATTCCTGGGAATGAAGTGATCACCATGCCGGTTCATTTAAAAAATTTACAAAATTATATCTACCACGTATAGCCACGCTGCGGCTATATTAGGGTTGAAACACAAATGGGTCGGCTCGACTGGGGAAGGACCACGATCTCACAGATTACCAGCGTAAAATAGCAGCTTAATGCTGCTGTGTTTGGTATGGTGTAGGAAACCGGAGACTCTTTTTACTGAAGATGAGGCATTCCATCTTAGTTCTCAGGGGTAACAACGGATCTGCATTTTGATTCTTAATCGAGGATAAATGTAGATGTTTATGGACCACAGCATCCACTTTCCATCAGATAGACTGTCTGCTCGTCTGTCACCCTTATCTATAAAAACATATATAAGTCTAAAAATATTGTTGCTGTTTGTTCTCAGAACATAGGTATTTTTCGAACCTATATTAAATAAAAAAATATTCTATTCTATTCTGTTCTATTTCGTCCTATCCTTTCCTTTCTTGTCCTATGCGGTGGTATCCTGTCCTATCGTATTCCATCGCTTTCCATCCTATCCTATTCTATTCTATTATATTTTAATAACGGATGATATTTTTCGAATAGGGCCTTTTGGAGTTTCAGCATCATCATCATCATTACAGTCCTTCACGAGTCCACTGCTGAACATAGGCCTCCTCCCCCAAGGAATGCCACTAAGCGCGGTCCTGAGCCACCTGCATCCATCGATTTCCTGCATGTCTCACCAGGTCGTCATTCCATCTAGTGGGGGGTCGCCGTACACTTCGCCTACCAGTACGAGGCTGCCACTCTAGAACCTTTCTTCCCCATAGGTTGTCGGTTCTTCGAGCTATATGGCCGGCCCACTGCCACTTCAGCTTACTAATCTTAATAATAAAGTTAATAATCTATATAATAAGCTTAATAATCTTACTAATAAAGTTTTGACAATAATTTTCTACAATTATATGTAATAATATACAAAAGCCCGTAAATGATAAATATATTTACCTGCTATAAGAAGAGCTTAGCGTTAGTTTAATTTAAAAAAAAAATCGATTTTCAAAGAACTTGTTTAAAAACTTCAATATCTATACTAGTCGACGAAGAAGAAGAAGTCAGAAAGTACAGAATTCCTAGAAGTACAATTTGCCACTATGTCTGGCGTATGTGGACTATGGGAAAGCCTTTGATTCCGTCGAAATTTGGGCTGTGCTGCAGCCCCTTCAGCGGTGCCAAGTTGATTGTCAGTATATCACAGTGCTGAAGTATTTGTACAATAGGGCTACGATGGCTATCCGAGTACAGAACCAGAGTACTAAACCTATCCAATTGCAGAGAGGTGTAAGACAGGGTGACATTATATCCCCAAAACTCTTCACCGCTGCATTGGAAGACGTGTTCAAGGTTCTGGACTGGAAAGCATACGGTATTAACATCAACAGCGAGTACATCACTCACCTTCGATTTGTCGATGATATGGTCCTTATGGCAGAATCGCTGGAGGTACACCTCAATAGTGCCTCCCAACGGATAGGTCTTAAGGTGGCACAAGTCGCGGGCTCGAACTCGCTGGTGGGCGCGGCCAAAAAGCACGCTGTCTCACCTGGCATCGTGCCCGACAGAGATAGTATCAGTGATGAGCATATCGACACTAGTATTCACGCATGTCTTGTTCGTACGGTGTTCCGAACCGTTAGAATAAAAACGAAGTTACACGAACACGATGCAACATCTATACTAATATAATAAAGCAGAAGAGGGTTTTTGTTTGTTTAAACGTGCTAATCTCTGGAACTACCAGTCCGATTTGAAAAATCTTTTTTTGGATATTATAGCCAGATTCATGTTGAATAGTATAGGCTATACAGCATTAGGCTATATATAGGAAGTCAGAAGAAAAAGCGCTGTTATGGTTCGGGATACGTAAATACAATGTTCTAGAAAAATATAGATCTTTACTCCGTCTAAAAAAAGTCCGCGATACCATATGTCTATTTCTTATATATAAGCCACAATTAGGCATTTTGTGACAAAAAAATGAAAATTTAATTATTAGGCACCTTACGAACCAAAGTTACTTCATTATCAAGACAATTTTATGAAGATAAACTTCGTTCTTTATACCATGTTTATATAGTACATAGTTTAAGAAATAATGTAAAATTAAAATAATTCAATACCTACTTGGCTTGACGCGCAAACAACGCATAACCCCTAGCCCGGTGCGAACTGAGAAGCCAGTATTGAAAGCTTCTATGAGCGCGGTTAGGTTAGCCGTTAGTTCAATCGTTATCTATATATACACAAATAAATAAAATTGAAGTGTCTGTTATAATGTCAAAATAACAGCTTTTTACTAATTGCGTATGAAACTGTATACGGTACTTATAACATTAACACAATTTTTAACATTTTTGTATGTCTGTCAGTCTGTTTGTTGCGGTTAATTTCCAAAACGGCTGGACCGACTTGGGCGGGACTTTCACTATTAGATAGCTCATGTTATAAGAAGTAACTTAGCCTGCTTAAATTTTAGAAAAATTATTAGGTGTCTTTGCAACAATATTAACGCCCTAAACTAAACGCGGACGAAGTCGCGGGGTACAGCTAGTAGCTAAAATAAATTCAAAATTAATTGAGTACTTTTATCTATCTCCCGGGTGACCGTATGAATGATTAGTTACATCTTTATTTCTGAACTCTTTAATTTCACGTTGCTATGGTATTTTGAAAGTTTAAATTTAATTAATTAATAAGTATAAGAGGTTGATAGCAAATTTATCAAGAATCATTTCTTGCCAACACACTTTTCATGAATCGTGTACGTTTTTCTTTAAAACTGGAAAAAACCGCGCATAATATGCCGACAGATAAAATAAAAGTACTCCATTAATCATGACAATTTTTCCATATATTACAATCAAATAAAATATTTGATTGCAATTATAAAATGCTGGAACTAGGTGTCATGTCATGCCACGCATCTCGGACACGTGATGACGCGGGTGAATCCACGAAATTATTAGGTATACGTCTGTGGCTCTATATACCTAATATAGATTGCTTATTTTATTATGTTTAGTTTTCCCCGAGTGGTCATGCAGCAATCACTCAAGAGTTCGGCTTCGAACGTGTGTAACTCGATAATTATCCCACGGCAACGAAATATCTGAATAAACGGTATCATATATGATATTTGGCAGCTCCGTGGCGCAGTGGCTTAGCAATGAATTGTTGTACTGGGAGCCGCGGGTTCGAATCAATCGAACAAGTATTTGTATGGTCTACAAATAATTGTTCCGGGTCTGGATGTTTGTAAACTGCCTCCACGATACAGGAGAAAATCCTAGTGTGGGGTAAAGTTTTTTTGAAAAAAAAATTTCGGACTATAGCCTATCTCTGAGCAAAATATCATCCAGATCCCTTCAGCCGTTCTGGCGTGATTGAGTAACATACATCCATTCATCCGTCCATCCAAATATCCCAACTTTCGCATTTATAATATTTAGATAATAATCGTAATTGGTCTGCCTACCTATAAATTGTTTTCAAAAATACTTACTTACCTGGCTTCTTATTTTTTTATATATACTCAATATCACTAAACGTAAACACAGGTTTTTATCAAGACAAGTGACCCATCAAGATTGTTTTCTTAGTACCGACGTACCTACCTAAAGTTTACAATTTTGTGGCCACGACGCGGCGAGGTTTTGTGACATTTTGTTGTATTGTTGATTGTAGGTATCTAGGTAATAACAGTAGGTACCTATGAAAATCCCACATAATATACTTTGTTTATCCGCCGCAAAAGTCGTCTAATAAATAATTAAACTGTTTTGTAATTCTTTATTTATTTATAACACTTGCATTGAGAGCCGTGGTAGCTCAGATGGTTAGCGCTCGCTGTAAGTATCACATTACGCGAGCAACCCGGGTTCGATCCCCGTCGGCACCAATGAAATTGTTGCAATTTTATATAGTAATCGAATATAGACTTTACTTTTTTTACTTTTATAATTATATTATATTACAGACGAAAATTTTAAAATATTGTCTGTCGTCCAAAACGCATCATCTCTTTCAATTATATCAATTTCCATGCCGTCTTTTGTCTTTGGCGTCCAAATTACAAAATAGCAAAACTTTTCGTTTCGAATAAAACTCGAATACTTATAAGCGCGCGTCACCGCCTGTGCATGTGTGTGTAAGCATCGTCCTCCCGCACCGCACCGGGGGAGACATTATTCAGTGAGATGCACGATAATTCATAGTAATATGCGCGCGTAAAAAAATACGAAAAGGCCTTTGGAAGAAGGGGTTTTATGAAAAAACCACTGCATTAATCAATTACAAATAAAATTTATTGAGTTCTTCGATAATTTACCTGTGTCGGTACCGACTTTGTTTTGGAAATTTTACACTTCTTTTATTACTAATTTACGCCCAAAGTTGTGTTAAAATTGGCAATAAAAACGAATCTTTGGTAGCTCGTAACTTTTTAATAACATTTTATTTTACTATTCTGTTTCCGTACAGACAAATTTAATAATGAGACAAAACGATATCATGTTTAATTTTGGATGTACACTGTCAAACAGCGGAGTAAAACCCCTCCGAAATTTCTATGGAAATAATGTCGACTAGTGTCACCTTAAGATGAACATGGACAAAACAAAAATCATGTTTAACGTCCATGTCACACCTATGCCGGTAGTTGTTGGGAGCACTAAGCTCGAAGTTGTTGACGAGTATGTTTACCTGGGACAAATAGTCCGACTAGGTAAGTCCAACTTCGACCGAGAGGTCAATCGACGGATTCAACTCGGCTTGGCAGCGTTTGGGAAATTACGGCACATCTTCTCTTCAGGTATACCTCAAAACTTGAAAACAAGACTGTACTACCAGTGCGTGTTGCCAGTGATGACCAATGGAATTGAAACGTGGTCCTTCACTGCTGGCCGGATGAGGAAGCTCAAGGTCGCCCTGCGAGCTATGGAGAGGGCATGCCCGGAGTTTCGCTGCGTGATAAACGTAGAAATCAGGATATCCGCAGTAGGACCAGAGTGACCGACATAGCCTAACGGATTTTGGAGTTTATTCCTTAAGAATCGATTTTCATACATAGTAGTCCAAGATCCCAGGGCCACCAGATTTCACATATTTTCTGACGAAGGAAATGTGTATACGTGGTAGAGCCATGCTGCAGCCATATTTCTCTGGTATAGTTGTAACACGAATGGGTCGGCTCGACCGGGGAAGGACCACGCTCTCACAGAATACCAGTTTAAAATAGCAGCTTAATGCTGCTGTGTTTCGTATGGTGAGTGTAGAGAACCGGAGACCCTTTTTACTGGAAACGATGCATTCCATCTTAGTCCTCACGGGTGAGAAACGCATCTGCATTTTGATTTGTAATCGAGGATAAATGTAGATGTCTATGGGCCCCAGCAACCACTTACCATCAGGTGGACTGTGTGCTCGTTTGTCACCCTTATCCTATAAAAAACAATTGAGTAGTGTTAGTATGTACTATGATCGCATGACATACACGAAAAATCAGCTGGGAGAATTATTGTGAGGTGAGCAATGTTTTTACATATCTGATACCATTAGCATTGACTGATACCTGGAAAATGGCCGTCTGGCCAAGCTAGCAGGTAGGCATGCGATCATAGTACATACTAACACTACTCATTTTTACACATTTCGTTCGTCAAAAAATAAGTGACGTGGTGGCCCTGGGATCGTGCTCTATAACCCGCGGCACACAAATTAGATGGAAAGCGAAATCGAGTGTTATACAAAAAGTGAAGTCTGTCAAGTATGCCCCTCCGCGCAACACATTCGCGCGTCTAACACTGATCGCGCATAAAATGGTCATAATGGTTGAATCTATTTAATAGGGAATTCCTAATGGCATTAATTTCGCCCTTTGTATTCACTTGGGTACGACTTTCCATTGACGTCCGTCGAGTTTGATGTTGATACGTATTTTTACAGAAAGATTACATTTTTATAAGCACACACACAAAGTTTCCATATGCGGAAACACGTACTTTTTGAGAAAAAAATATTGGAAATCAAATATTTTTGCAATATTTATGTCAATTCCTACCGTGAAACTGACGCCATTTTTTATCATTATTGTCACTAGGGATGTCGACTTTTTCCATAAAAAAAAAACGATTTTTTAAATAGATTCGAATTGTAAGCTGACGTATCGATTCCCAAAAAATCGATTTCTAAAATATCTATATTTTTTTCATGTTTGCATTTATAATGTAAATACAAATCCATTTTATGAGAAAAAAATTCCTTTCATCATAAAAAAATAAGGGGACTGATTCAGAAGGATTTCTGTATCTATTTTAAGACTGCTACGTCTCCGGCGCTGCGGGAAGAGCAGCCTCTACGCCTTAGCGTAACAAATCGCAGGCATCGGACGAGGCTCATATGAAGACATTGCATGGTGGGCCACAAATCATGTTAAATTTTATACAATCTAAATAATGGATAATCCCTGCAAGAGTACAGGTTAAGAAGTGCTACAGAAAACGAATGAAATGTTCAAGATACTCCAGGCAAGACAATAACCAGTTTATGGGTCAGCTTCCTGATGTCAGATTAAAGCCATCTCGACCGTTTCAATCAGCAGGTGTTGACTTTACGGGATACATAAATATACGGATGTCTTCCGGTCGAGGAGCCACAGCATATAAAGGATATATATGTGTCTTCGTATGTATGATATCTAAAGCTATGCGCTTAAAAGCCGTCTCGGACTTAACAGCTAAGGGTTTTATCGCAGCCTTTCGCCGTTTCGTGTCTCGTCGCGGTCACTGTACAGACTTATATAGTGATAACGGTACCAATTTCGTCGGCGCCGATAAAGAGTTGCGTGAAATGCTGAACAGTGTCAAGTCTAAGCTACCCGATGAAATCAACAAACTGCTTGCTATTGAAGGAACAACGTAGCACTTCATACCTCCACACTCTCCCAATTTTCGATGCCTGTGGGAAGCAGGAGTTTGATGCATGAAGTCACATCTAAAACGAGTGATAGGTGATTCAAAGCTAACCTTCGAAGAACTTTCTACAGTTCTAGCACAAATCGAGGCATGCTTAAATTCACGTCCACTTTCCTATATAAGTGACAATCCTGAGGATCCATTACCACTAACCCCAGGTCACTTTTTGGTGGGTGAGCCCTTGATAGTAGTACCAGAAGAAAATTACTCAAATATACCGCTAAACATACTACAAAGATGGAAATTCGGTCAAGGGATGGTAAACGACTTTTGGAAAAGATGGTCAGAAGAGTAGAGTAGAGTTTAAGTCACGCTAAACCAAAGATATAAATGGAATACAAAGAACATTGAGCCTGAGATCGATGATGTGGTAATAATAAAGGACCATAATCGTCCTCCAGCCAAATGTTTGCATGGAAAAGTCATTGAAAAACATCCTGAAGCAGATAACATCACAAGAGTTGTGTCTATAAAAACTAAGAATGGTATTTGTTAGCGCCCTTGTAATAAATTGTGTTATTTACCTAAGAAATAGAGTGCTTGTTAGTCTCATAGAGTTAATTTTTTTGATATAAATGGCTTTAGTAATTCTATAGATTATTTTTGTTAATATTGTACCTCATGGTGGGCGGTTTTATTTTGAGTATTGTATTGTTGAAATAATTTGAAATTTTGTTACATTTGAAAAAGAACGAGTCTTTTGGTGGGCGGTATGTTAAAAATTACGTCAATTTGTGACATCTCATTATCATGTCTTTAGAAAAAATGTAGAGATAAGCATAAAGGTTTCATATAAGTTGTCAATGTTTAATATGCTCACAGCATCAATAGATGGCACAACAATATAATTGTATTACGCTATAATTGTTCTATTCCCTAAGCTTTATAGGTGTTGGATGATTTGGAATAAATGAGTCAAAATGAAAATAAAAGTGCAGTGTCTAATTTAATAGTGTAGAAGTAAAGTGAATTGAGTTAGTCGACTACAGTTAGTCTATCTCATTCTATTGCAGGCTAAATCCTATAGATATATATGTTTGTCTCTTCTCTCTCTCTTTTTCGTTTTATCGGGTTTCACATCACAACCATTATATAGCAGTTTTCATTCTTCAAAAATGGCAGTGTTAGGGGACTGCCGACAGAAGTTAAAACCTAAAACTACGAGACAACCGTGTTTATTTGGATTTTCAAATTAATTGTAGTATACAGTTACCATTACAACCTATTAAAGTCCACTGCTGAACATAGGCCTTCCTGAGGAGATATTTGCCATAGTCGTAATGTTACTGTTGATTTGAAAACACCTCTCAGTGGGTCATGTGCTCCTGGTAGATTATCTTCTATACATCTATCCAATACAGCCTGTTAAAGTCCACTGCTGAACATCGGCCTCCCCCATAGATTGCCTCGTAGGGGAGATATTTGCCATAGTTGCCACGATTGGGAAGTGGGTTGGCAACCGCAGCTTTTTAGTTTTGATCGTTATTATGTAGACGCTGCTGCCCGTCTCCTGATTTGTTTCCCTCTGTCGTCTCATACGACACCCACGGGATGATATGGGGTAGTGGATATTCTTACACCGCCACTACACGGTTTATTTATTGAGGCGACAGAGGGAATCCAATTAGGAGATGGGCAGCAGCGTCTTTCTAATAACAATTAAAATAAAAAAACAGCGGTTGCCCAATCGCTAGCCAGCGTCTATGGCAAATATACCTCCCCCCCCCCCCCCCTAGTGAGGCAATCTGTGGGCGAGGTCAATGTCCAGTAGTGGAATTTAACAGGTAACGGTAAATAAATCTTACCTGGCAAGTGTCCTTCGACTTATCCTTGTCCCCGTAGCAGATTTGTGTTCTGGAGTCGAACCCGTTCTCCATGAGGCGGTTCGGCGGGAACAACTGCGCACACTCAGAGTCCGAGAATTTGTTCAGGACCACCTGCAACGGAATTCGAGAGTTATACAAAACTGTTAAAGTATAAAATTTTTAGTAAGCAAAAATTGTTAAGTAAGGGTTGTCAATAGTCATGGTAGATCAGATGGTTAGCGCTCGCTGTTAATTTTACGCCGGCACCAATGAAATTGTTAATGGCAATTTTAAGTGCTGATTTACCACGTGCTCGGCGGTGAAGGAAAACATCGTGAGGAAAATTAATTGTCTGAGAAATAAGAAAGATAAATATTTCGAAGACATGTGAAGTTCGCCAACACGCTCTAGGGCAGCGCGGTGAACACTTCCTTGCCCTAAAACCCTGTCAGAAATGAGAGGAGCCCTGTGACCAGCAGTGGGCCGTGTATAGGCTGTAACTTTAACTTTTTAAGTGTTGTCATATTATTAAAGAGCACATGATTGATAATAACCCCTGGAAATGAGATAATCGCTACCATGCTGTTTTAAAATGTTTTTCTGCCGACTTCCAAAAAGGAGGCGGTACTCAATTCGACTGTATGTTTTTTTTATGTATGTTACCTCATAACTTTTTACTGGGTGAACCGATTTCGATGATTCTTTTTTATATCAAAGCTTTTTTTTATAGAATAAGGGTGACAAACGAGCACACAGTCTACCTGATGGTAACTGGTTGCAGTGGCCCATAGACATCTACATCTATCTTCCTTTGCGAATTAAAATGCAGATGCGTTGTCAGCCGTGAGGACTAAGATGGAATGCCTCTTTTCCAGTAAAAAGGGTCTCCGGTTCTCTACATTCACCATATGAAACACAGCAGTATTAAGCTGCTATTTTACGCTGGTATTCTGTGAGAGCGTGGCCCGTCCCCGGTAGAGCCGACCCATTCGTACTACAACTATACTATTAATATAGCTGCAGCATGGCTCTACCACGTGGATAATACAATAGGTGATACTTCTCGTGTGGTTTTTTGTGGTGTGAATTTGATCAAGGTCAGACCAATAGTTTTTGAGTTATTCTTAATAACTTATATTGAAGTCGGCTGTACAAAATTTTAAATTATATAATTATTGTATAAAATAATATATTATACATTAACTCTATTTAAAAAAAAAGTAAAATATAAAATAGATGGTCTTTAATTGTCTTATATCTAAATAACGTTACATGAATAGATTCTATCCGGGTGCGGTGGCTAGTTATTTAATATGATTCTAGCCTATTTTCTTCGCACCGTGTAGTGGCGGTGTAAGAATATCCATAACCCCATATCATCCCGTGGGTGTCGTAAGAGGTAACAGAGGGAAAAAATCAGGAGGTGGGCAACAGCGTCTTCATAATAACAATAAAAAATAAAAAAATTGCGGTTGCCAACCCGCTTGCCAAGCTTAGTAACTATGACAAATATCCCCATCATCATCATCATTACAGCCCTTCACAAATCCACTGCTGATCATAGGCCTCCCCCAAAGAATGCCACAAAGCACGGTCCTGAGCCACCTGCATCCATCGACTTCCTGCATATCTTACCAGGTCGTCACTCCATCTAGTGGGGGGACGCCCTACACTTCGCCTGCCGGTACGAGGCCGCCACTCGAGAACCTTTCTTCCCCATCGATTGTCGGTTCTTCGAGCTATAAGGCCGGCCCATTGCCACTTCAGCTTACTAATCCGTTGGGCTATGTCGGTCACTCTGGTTCTACTGCGGATATCCTCATTTCTGAGTTTATCACGCAAAGAAACTCTGAGCATAGCCCTCTCCATAGCTCGCTGAGCGACCTTGAGCTTCCTCATCCGGCCAGCAGTGAAGGACCACGTCTCAGTTCCGTATGTCATCACTGGCAACACGCACTGGGTGTACAGTCTCGTTTTCAAGTTTTGAGGTATACCTGACGAGAAGATGTGCCGTAATTTCCCAAACGCTGCCCAACCGAGTTGAATCCGTCGATTGACCTCTCGGTCGAAGTTGGACTTACCTAGTCGGACTATTTGTCCCAGGTAAACATACTCGTCAACAACTTCGAGCTTAGTGTTCCCAACAACTACCGGCATAGGTGTGACATGGACATTAAACATGATCTTTGTTTTGTCCATGTTCATCTTAAGACCTATCCGTTGGGAAACACTATTGAGGTCATTGAGCATAGTGCTTAGGTCCTCCAGCGATTCTGCCATAAGGACTATATCGTCGGCAAATCGAAGGTGAGTGATGTACTCGCCATTGATGTTGATACCGTATCCTTTCCAGTCCAGAAGCTTGAAAACATCTTCCAATGCAGCGGTAAAGAGTTTCGGGGATATGACGTCACCCTGTCTTACACCTCTCTGCAATTGGATAGGTTTCGTACTCTGGTTCTGTACTCGGATAGCCATCGTAGCCCTACTGTACAAGCACTTCAACACTTCGATATACCGACAGTCAACTTGGCATCGCTGAAGGGACTGCAGCACCGCCCAAATTTCGATGGAATCAAAGGCTTTCTCATAGTCCACATACGCCAGACATAGTGGCAAATTGTACTCCTCGGACTTCTGTACAATTTGCCGAAGGGTATGTATGTGGTCTATGGTGCTAAAGCCTTTTCGGAAACCGGCTTGTTCGGGAGGCTGGAAGTCGTCAAGTCTGCGCGCGAGACGATTCGTAATGACTCTCGAAAACAGCACGTAGACGCGGCTCAGAAGGGAAATCGGTCTGTAGTTCTTCAAGAAAGCGTTGTCGCCTTTCTTGAAGAACAAGACCACCGCACTTCTGCTCCACGCCTCCGGTGTAATCCACCATGGAGGACGGAATTAAAGAGCTCTGAAGGACTTCAAGTACCGGTTTTCCACCCGCTTTCAGAAGCTCCGCTGTAATTCCATCCTGGCCTGGGGCCTTGCCGTTTTTAAGGTGCTGGAGAGCCATTCTAATCTCACTCAGACTGACGTCCGGGATATCATCGGAATAATGTCGGATGAGACTCGCTCTTGGATCGTTACTCACACTTGCGTGTGGCTCCAACGATGACGTGTACAGCTGCCCATAGAACCTCTCAATCTCACTCAAAATCTCAGGTAATATCCCCACTACGAGGCAATCTGTGGGGGAGGCCTATGTCCAGCAGTGGACTTTAATAGGCTGAAATGGATGGATGTATAGAAGATAATCAACCAGGAGCACATGACCCACTGAGAGGTGAAATTTTCAAATCAACAGTAACATTACAACCATGGCAAATATCCCCCTACGAGGCAATCTATGGGGAAGGCATATGTTCAGCAGTGGACTTAAATAGGCTGTAACGGTAACGGTAGTCTATTTTCTTTATAACAGTACCTTGGACCGATGTAGGTAGCTAAGCACGCGCCTTAAATTTCACAGCAGTTACGCGAGCAACTCTATGCTGCTGTGTTTCGTATGGTGACTGTAGAGAACCGGAGACCCTGTTTACTGGGAACTATGCATTCCAACTCAGTCCTCAACGATTACAATGCATTTGCAATTTGATTCTTAATTGAGGATAGATGTAGATGTCTATGGGCCACAGAAAATCCACTTACCATCAGGTGGACTGTGTGCTCGTTTGCCACACTTATTCTATATGAAAAAGAAACAGTATTTATACACAGTTTCAAACAAGTTCTATATACCTTCTGGAGGATATCCGCGCTGGAGCCTCTGTTTTGCGTCGCCCCCCATCCAGATGCCAACGCGCGCCCGTCAGGAGCCGACGTGTCGACGTGCAGACACGCCGGCACCGCATTAGCGTTCAAGTTCATACTGTAATGTTTTTAATAAGGGCTCCTAACTACACTTGCAACGAATATTCGGCCCAAAAGTATCTACCGAATATCGAATGTGTACTTAAGTAAGAGGTTTTATTGTAGTCAGATAATTGGTAAAATGAAAATATTTATGTATCCATTTTATAACTATTATTATTTTCTTGTAATCATTTAAATAATCATAAGTACATAATTAGCTTCCTTATTTAAAAAATAAAATAAAAAAGAACTATCAGATATAGTGTCTATGCACTCGAATTATAGTCGTTAAAGCGGAAGATAATGTTGCAGAAAGACCAAGTTTTCTTTATTCTCAGGCAGTAATTCACTCTTTTTCTTCTCGTAGACTATCCCAGCTTCAGTATATAGACGCCCGGAATAAACACTAATACCTTCCTGGATGAATACTTTTGACTTTTGCCTAATATTTGGCTATTCGGCCAGGAGGTCCGCACAATATTCGGTATTCGCCGTGTGACGTGTGAATACGAGTATAATATTCGTTGCAAGTCTACTATCTAATCTTACGCTCACCAGATGTTGTTGAGTTGGGACTGAGGTGATTTTATTTATCACTGCAATGGTCACACAGTGGCATCATCATTGAACCGAAAAACTTTTATTTGAACCACAACTTTCAAATAAATTTTTTTCGGTTTCTAGGCTAAGCAAAACAATGCTGCAGTGATTTGCTCATTAATTTTTTGCACATTTCTAAACCCCTTTTTGCTTGCATTCACTTCTGATGTAATTAATTCTTCCTGAATATAAACTTTAACTATGTCGAATCTCGCACTACGTGCGCGTAATATTCAAATCAACATTAACATTACAACTATAGCAAATATCCTCCCTATGAAGCAATATATGGGGGAGGCTGTTCAGGAGTGGACCTGAATAGGCTGTAACGGATGGATGCTTAGAAGATAATCTACCAGCAGCACATGACCCACAGAGAGGTGAAATTTTCAAATCAACAGTAACCTTACAACTATGGTAAATATCACCTTATGAGACAATCTATGGGGGAGGCCGTTCAGGAGTGGACTTTAAAAGGCTGTAATGGATGGATGTATAGAACATAATCTACTAGGAGCACATGGCCCACTGAGAAGTGAAATTTTCAAATCAACAGTAACATTACAACTATGGCAAATATCCCCTTATGAGGCAATCTATGGGGGAGGCTGTTCAGGAGTGGACTTTAAAAGGCTGCAATGGATGGATGTATAGAACATAATCTACCAGGAGCACATGACCCACTGAGAGGTGAAATTTTCAAATCAACAGGAACATTACAACTATGGCAAATCTCCCCCTATTAGGCAATATATGGGGGAGGCCTGTGTTCAGCAGTGGATTTTAATAGGCTGTAACGGTAACGGTACTAATATATTTTCAAATACTTACTCAGCCTCCGTTTGCAGCAGGGCGATATCGTTGTATTTCTTAGGCGGCTTGTAGTCGGGATGCTTGATGATCCTCTTTATCTTGTAGAGCTGGCTGCTGTCCACGTGTTCAGTCCTGCTCAGGATGCCCAGCAGTGCGTACGTAATTGGACCTCTGGAATGCTCTATCATTATCAACTTCTATACATTTAGAAGCTTTGACATTTTAGAATCTGGTATTATCTTGTATTTAGTTCGTATTTTTATAGAATAAGGGTGACAAACATGCACACAGTTCACGTGGTAAGTGGATGCTGTGGCCCATAGATATTCATGTCTACCCTCGATTAAGAATCAAAATGTAGATACGTTACCACTAAAATGGAATGTCTCGTTTCCAGTAAAAAAAGCGGTTTTCTACACCCATCACCAGAGCCGTCTTAAACCCATTGGGAGCCCAGGGCACTTTAGGATTAATGGTTCCCCTACGTCTGTCATAGGGCTGCCTGTCATAGAACAATAGGTAATAGAAATGGGAGTAATAATTGGGGGGCTCCAGGAATCACCGGGCCCCGTGCACTTGCCCAGTGTGCCCATGCGCAAAGATGGGCTTGCCCATCATACGAAACAACATTGCACTGCTATTTCGCGCTGCTAAACGTTTATTTCGTATAATGAGTGTAGAAAACCGGAGTCCTCTTTTTTACTGTAAACGAGGTACTCCATTTTGGTCCTCAGCGGTGACAACGCATCTGCATTTTGATTCTTAATTGACCATTGATGTAGATGTCTTTGGGCTACAGCAACCACTTACCATCAGGTGGACTGTGTGCTCGTTTGTCACTCTTGTTCTATAAAACAAAAGTTGGTATTCAGTGAGAGAGTGTTTCTTCCCAGGTCGAGCCGACCCATTCGCGCTACAACTATACTACTGTTGCAGCACGGCCTCGCATAATCAAGGGCAAAGTTGAAATATTATTATTGGAAATCAGCCTTTGCAAGTCAAAAGCTACGCCATGGCTTCAAAAAGTCCCCATTATGGGAGACCTTGTAAGAAGAAGTTGTAACAAACTCACAAGTTGTCTTTTATTTTCCCAATTGTTAAAAATTCAGCTTTTAAAATATATATTATGGGGCAAGTGATTAAGAGGGCGTTATTCATAAGGCCTGTGCAATATGAACAATGCGCAACATGAATAAGCAATACGATAAAAACTATTGAATTCATTGTATAAACTGACTAGACTTTATGAATAAAGTTCGTTACTTATTCAGCGAAGTTATAAAAAGACAGATTCGGTTAGGTTTTTTTATTAACAGCAGATGTCGCTAGTTGACACTGAGGTAAAGTTTTTTGTTACACAAATAGACAATTTAATTGCGAAGTAAGTTTTAAATAAAAGTTTATCAGTTTCTGTAATTTTTACATTAATACAAAAAACTTTTTTAATTTTTCTACTTTTATGAATATCTGTAGTTTGGTTTCGTCATTCTTTATCTAATTACTATAAAATATAACTCATAGTACAGAAAGAAACATTAACCTTTACATTTTTCGAAGAAATTAAATTTCCCGCTATGACATCTGTCTAATTGTAATATTTTTTCGTAACGCCGCGCCGCCCTAGTGGCAGGAAAAGTCGTGGTTGGAGAGTTTCTCATCAAAAGTATTTTTTCCTTGAAACGCAAAGGAAGGAATACCTCGTTGCAACCACTTTGCATTATAGTTGATACTGCAAAGTGGTTGCAACAAGACCCTTTTTACTGGAAAAGAGGCATTCTATCTTAATCCTCACGGCTGACAACGCATCTGCATTTTAATTCCCAAACGAAGATAGTAGTAATAGATGTAGATGCCTATGGGTTACAGCAACCACTTACCATCAGGTGGACTGTGTGCTCGTTTGTCACCCTTATTCTATAAAAAAACGAGGTTCTTCCCTTCCTTCATATTTATACACTTGTTAATTTCAGATTTGTTACATTATCACAGAATAAATAATAATAATACTAACAATTTTGCCGCCGTATTTTCTTTTTTTTAATATATTTTAAATATAGAATGAGAGAGGTTTTAATCTGTATATAAATTTTTTTGGATTCTAAAAATATTTTAAACTACAAAGTAACGGGTGTTTTTTAGAGATATAGAACTTTAAGTTGGCAACACTTTTTTAACTGGCGGCCATTTTGTCAGCTGTCAAGTGATTTATGTTTAGTTTGGTTTAAACGTAGTGGTTATTTTCTCTTTTGGTTTGGTTTGGCATTTTAACATGAATAGACTGACGCCTGAACAACGCTTCGAAATTGTGCAAATTTATTTTGAAAATCATGGTTCTGTTCGAAATACGTATCGCGCATTACGTCCATTTTACGGTGAACATAATCGTCCATCAGAGCAATTAATTCGATTAACTATGGGACGTTTTCGCGCCACATTTACTCTAAATGATAATACGCATCCACAGATATGTCGTACAGTGCGTACAGAAAAAGTCATTGCTGCTGTAGAGCGTAGCGTAGAGGAAGACCCGAATCAGTCTATCCGCCATCGTGCACAGGAATTGGATATGTGTCCATCCACTTTATGGAAGATTTTGCGGAAAAATCTTGGTTTGCGTGCATACAAAATCCAACTCGTGCAAGAATTGAAGCCTCGCGATCACCTAGCAAGGCGTAGATTCGGTGAATGGGCCCAAAATAAGATTGCCGACGATCCCGATTTTCATAAGCGAATTTTGTTTAGCGATGAAGCTCACTTTTGGTTGAATGGATATGTCAATAAACAAAACTGCCGTATTTAAAGGGATAATAATCCTCAAGTGTATGTTGAGACACCGTTACATCCAGAAAAACTGACTGTGTGGTGTGCTTTATGGGCTGGTGGAATAATTGGTCCGTATTTCTTTAAAAACGATGCTGGCCAGAACGTTACAGTCAATGGTGACCGCTATAGAGCGATGATTACTGACTTTTTCGTTCATCAATTGAACAACCATGATGTGCAGGAGTTGTGGTTTCAACAAGACGGCGCAACATGTCACACAGCTCGTGCTACAATTGATTTATTGAAGGAAACGTTTGGTAACCGTATAGTTTCACGTTTCGGACCCGTGAGTTGGCCTCCAAGATCGTGCGATTTAACGCCACTTGACTATTTTCTGTGGGGATATGTGAAGTCGCAAGTCTACGCCGATAAGCCCGAAACGATTGACCACTTGGAGGACAACATTCGGCGCGTTATTGCCGATATACGGTCACAAATGTTGGAAAAAGTCATCGAAAATTGGACCTCCAGATTAGACTAGGTCCGAGCCAGCCGTGGCGGTCATATGCCAGAAGTCATATTTAAATTATAATGCCAGAAGATTGTCTTTCGAATAAAGTAAATTACATGTCAATAAAAAAAATCATGTTTGTTTTATTCCATTTCAAAGTTCTATACCTCTAAAAAAAACACCCATTAGTAAATATTTTAGGATTAAGGAATCGATAGGTTCTGTTGATGTGTATGTACATATAGTACGTACATATAGCCTGTATATATAGCCGACATATTAATTACTGTGTCATTTAAAGAAAACAAAGAGTACCGCTGGGTTTGTTGCTGGTTCTTCCCAGAACAGAGGCTAATCTACTCTATTCTATTTTATTATGTCTTATTCTATTCTCTTTCATTCCGTATTATTTTATGCTATTCTATCATATTCTATACATATGTATATTATTCTATTCTTTTTCTATTCCATTATAAAAGTAAAAGGTAAAGTAAAGTTGCAGCCTATTTACGTCTCACTGCTGGGCACAGGCCTCCTCTCATTTCTAAGAGGGTTTTAGGGCAAGGAAATGTCCGCCGCATTGCCCCAATGCGTGTTGGCGAACTTCACATGTCTTCTAAAGATTTTTTTATTTTTTTTTTCTCAGACATGCAGGTTTACTCACGATGTTTTCCTTCACCGCCGAGCACGTGGTAAATCAGCACTTGCAATTAACAATTTCATTGGTGCCGGCGGGGATCCAACCCGGGTTGCTTGCGTACTGTGAAGCTTACAGCAAGCGCTAACCATCTTATTCCATTATGTTACGTTCTAATTCTATTCCATTCCATTTGATTCTACGTTATATTCCATTAGATTCTACATTCTATTCTATTCCATTCCATTTTGTTTTATACTATTTTATTCCATTCTATTACGTTCTATTCCATTATTTTCTATTCTATTCTAACTCCCTAGCCAAAAATGTAACAATGGCGATGTACTACGTAATAAAGTGTCTTACACTTCTCGGCTAGAGGTGCAGTGACCGGCCGTCAAAATGAAACGTTCGCTGATGATGGAGCCACCGCACAGCCACTGGAGCGCGTTCACGTCACTGCCGAACCCGAGCAGAGCCTGGAAAGATAAATTCATCAGTCAGCAAGCCAGTCATTGTGCCAGTCACAGTTGTTAGCTGTAAAAGGAAATCCGTTACTCTATTTTTGAGGAGTGACGGTATTGCGAGACGCCGCTCTCTCTCTCTACCCTCCGCAGCCGAATCTTGGCTGGCGGCGGAGCTATAGACCAGAACCGCCGTTGGGGTCAGGAAGGCTGGTGCTTCTGAGTGCTCGTTTTCCCTGACCCCACGACCTTCACGCATTGGACACGGGGACATTAAAAAAAGTGTTCCCGTGGCTCTGCCAATTTGCGACGAAGGTGGAATACCATGGGTTTGTCGGTGCAAGTCCGACATAACGCGTTATTGGCCCCGCGAAGCGGGTATGCGTGCTTACGCATATCCCCATTGTCCCATGTAAAACAAAAAAAAATTGCCGTAATGGGTGAACGGATGGATGGGAAAAGCATGCAGTACATCACCATGTGTGGAAACTCCGCACGAGCCGCGTTGACTCCGCCAACAATGAGGTCGTCTGCGTTGTGGTTGCAACGGTACGCGCGAGCGTTCTCCCCGGACAGTGAGTTTCCCTTCACGCAGGGATACACCAACTTCTCCTGATACTCGATGCATTCTATCAGGAGACACAAACGATTGGTAAAATTAAAAATGTTGTACAACCGACTTCAATAGAAATTATTGACGAAAATTGATAATAAACTAGTCAAACTTTGATCAAATATATTTTACCACATGAGAAGCACCAGTTTTCAAATAAAAGAAGAATAATCAAAATCGGTTCACTTATAAAAATCCCTCCTATGTGAAGTTGGTAAAAAAATCTGTGAGACCAACGCTGTACCAACGTGTATAAATGCAACAGTTTTCCAGTAACTTATTTATTTATTAACGCTTTATTTGCACACAAAGTATAAAATGGCGGCTTAATGCAACTAGGTATTCTTTACCAGTCTCCCTCCTGGTTGAGCAGAGAAGATATTGTGGGTGCAAAATGCAAACAGCTACATCTACTTAATATATACATAATAATAACCATAACTACATACTAAAATACACAATATTAACATAATTACACATAAATATTAATAATAATGCTCTACAGATCGAATTTCAGTCACGGCAGCCAGTCTCAACGGAGACTAGCCATCTGTACAGGACAGGATTATAGCGCACGTGTGTGTGCACAAGCACAGATGCACTCTCTATTGCCTCACTCTCATAGTCCGATGGTACGGTAAACCGACACGACCGGAGAGAGATCAGGCCAAGGACCAACGACTTTACATGCTTTCCGAGGCAAGGGAGACACCGCCAGCTTCCTGACTCCAGGCAGCTACTGAGAATTTCTTGACGATAAAACCTAATAACTGATTTTAGCCCAACCCGAGTTCCAAACACGGTTACGACCATTAGATCAATGATACAGTGAAAAAAAAATTATAAAATAATTATTATTTAAGACCACTAAATACAAATTTACCTGCGCTGTGGTCGCGTCACAAGCGTAATGCATCGAAACCTAAATCGCGCTATTAAAGTTCCGAACGCACTGCGGTATATATATAGCTACAAAATACCACACTTGCGCCCCCTTTTCCCTGAAGAGGGTCGTTTCCGATACGACAGAAAGGCCTCCAGGCCAAAGCCAGTCCCACAGGTTGTGTTTAGTGGGTAGGCACTTTATAGTGTCCCACATAACCACGCAGCCGGCTGCGTGGTATGCTATGATAATTCCCCCCCCCCCTCCCTCCCCCCGCAAAGAAACTTCCACACGGAGCATTGGCCGCTCCCCGGACTGAATACGTTGCCCCGTGGGATCACCTTTTCCTTCCATGGCTAAACTCCGCGATCCGATCCGCTAGCTTAAATTTCGTAGTGAATAAAAGGTTATTTGATATATTATGTGGTGTGTTAGTTATACATCCCCCACAAGTCACCAAAGGCAACACCATATTTGTCTTCTTTGTTTTCAAGTCGATTGCAGAAGTTCTAGTGCAGTAGCTACTTACTATCACAAGGACTATAAATTCATTTGCCACTGCATTTAAAAAAAATATTTGTGTTATAAGCACAAATGAGTCGCAGATTACCAGTGTAAAATAGCAACTTGCGCTGTATCCTATGGTGAGTGTAGAGAATCAGAGACTTTTTACTGGAAACGAGGCATTCCATCTTAGTTCTCAGGGGTGACAACGCATCTGCATTCTAATTATTAATCGAGGATAGATGTAGACGTTTCTGGATCATAGCAACCACATTAGTTGGACTGTGTGCTTGTTTGTCACCCTATTCTATCTATACAAAGAAATAAAATTGAAGTGTCCATTGTAATGTTAATATAGGAGCTTTTTCCTAGATGCATATAAAAGTATATACGGTACTTATAACAAAAAAAACAATTATTAACATTTCTGTCTGTCTGTTTGTTTGTTCCGGCTAATCTCCGAAAAGTCTAGACCGATTTTGACAGTACTTTCACTTGCAGATAGCTGATGTTATAAAGAGTAACTAATGCTACTTTTATTTTAGAAAAAGAATTAGGGTTCCGCGCAAAAAAATTAAAACTTATGAAATCCAATCATACCTAATAAAATAGACACCTGTGAAGTCACGGGGAACAGCTATTTATACAAATAAATAAAATTGAAGTGTCTGTTTGTAATCTCAAAATTACAGCTTTTTACTAAACGCATATAAATGTGTAAATATAACAAAAATACAGTTTTTAAAGTTTTTGTCTGTCTGTCTGTTTGTTCCAGCTAATCTCCGAAACGGCTAGACCGATTTTGACGGGATTTTCACTGGCAGATAGCAGATGTCAGAAGGAGTAACTTAGGCTACTTTTATTTTAGAAAAAGAGTTTAGAGTTCCGCGCAAAAAAATTAAAACCCCAAATAACACGCGGGCGAAGTTGCGGGGAACAGCTAGTAAAAAATAAAATACAAAAACTTACTATCCCACGCCTTCTGACCAGTTCTGGGCGAAGTTAAATTGGCCGCGATAGGTTCACATCCACCAGGTTTCGCGTTGGGGTCGACGAACACGTAGTCATATATCACTGGCACGTATTCCGTCGTGGTCTTTGGCCTGGAATAAGATATATAAAAGTTAAAGTTACAGCCCCTATACGTTCCACAGCTGGGCTTGTGCCCAATGTGAGGAGGTCTGTACCTGCTCACATTTCTGAGAAGGTCTTAGAGCAAGGAAGTGTCCACTACGCTGCCCATAGCGCATTGGCAAACTTCACATATCTTCGAAATATAATTGTTTCTCATTTCTCAGACATGCAGGTTTCCTCACGATGTTTGCGAAGAACGATAAAAATTTATATCTTAAGAAAGGAATCTGCAGTGGCTTTGCCACTAAACTTTCATACTGCCAACTATTAGCATATTGAAACAGGTATAGAAGATATCATTGTTTCTATCCAGGTACCCCCTTACCCTATCTCTGCCATCCGTGAGTGTGTTCCTGTTTAAAAGGTATGAAACAATATTATAAAGAGTTAGTTAAATTTAAGACTGCGAGCCATCCTAATCCTCAGTGAGTAAATAAAAAAAAGATAACACCAACTCAGTCCACCTGATGGTAAGCGGGTACAGCCCATGGACACCTGCAGCCATCGATATATATGTACTACGCACTAGATTTCGCATTCCGAACATTGACTATGTTCAACTGAACTGTACTGCAATCTGTACACTAAACTAAATATTACGTATTAAATTGAAGATTTGTGAATTCCATAAGATAATTATTATTACATTTTATTTAGAAATATGTTTGTTTAGATTAAAATAAGAGTATTTTACATTAGATTCTTATATTTATTTTATATTAATATTACAGTCAATGAGGGTAACTTTGATTAACAAGGGTAACTTTGACAGTCAAATCGCAAAATAGTTTTTTAATTTTTACGTGCACAACATATAGTGCATAACATTAAATTTATACAATTCGTGTACTTAACAAACTTCGTAAATGAACTCTCCGGAAAAATAAAGGTGTCTTACGAAGTTAATGTCAAAAACTTATTTAAAGTACCATGCGCAACTGTTGTCTTTTTGCAGTGGTAAACTTTTAAAATTTTAAACGTGATTACCAAAGAGTTTAAATCAAGATAAAACTATAACTTTATGGTTTTATTGACTTGTATATGACTCCACTGCATCTGAAATTTGTTAAAAACTTAAAATTATGTTACCCTGAAGCTATAAAATGTTTAAAAGATAAGATTCCTGCGACAAATCTCATCTGTGTCAAAGTTATCCATATAAGGGTTATAACTTTGACACACAACAAAATTGCCTGTATTTGTTATATTTTATGATTTTTATAGACTTGAGAGATATATCAAGACTTGAGAAATAATACAAATATCTTGAGAGTATGAAAACCAACCTGAGAGCAAAGATTAAGTAAACTCCTTTGTCTCATATTTAATATAGTAAAAGTTAACTAAAAAAATATAGTGATGATCTGTCAAAGTTACCCGGGTTGACTGTATCTTATTTTATATTAAATTAAAGTATTAACGCATGCGCGAAGACATAGAGTAGCGCACAATTTTTATTTGGCTGCAGCCAGTTTCAAACAAAGAAAGCTACAGAGCCATCTCCGAGGATTAAGCTGGAATGCCTCACCGCTCCATTCTAAGCCTATCTACTTCATTAGTATTTACTATGGCACGCAATTCAGCCATACCAATACTTGCCTTCGACGACCTACGTCAGGTCGCCTTCTCCTTGGTTATTTAAAACAATAACAATAAAAAAAATCTCGCGCACTGACAAACTTATGATAGATTTTTGTTCGATCTGAAGTGGATGTTTTCATGGGTTCAGTGGCCTCCACAAAAAACAAATTATTACAGTATCTTTATTCCAAGTATGTAATTTAATCTAGCCTTAATTTAATTTAGTCTTAATTTAATTTAATTTGGTTTTTAATTTAGCATGATTATAACATAACTTTAAGTACCAAACTTTATTGTTAATCACATGTTGTACATTATGTGCAAGCTGTGTCTACATATATATTAGAATACAATTTTTGAAATCATTGTTTTATATAATACCTGTTATCATGTTGAAATTGTGTTCTGTTTTGTAGACCAAATAAAGAGAAAGAGAAAAGAGAAAAGAGATTTTATTAATCACCTTGAAATCTTGACATTTATTTATTTTAACAGAGCCAGAACTGAAATGTAAAACATGTGGTACCTTTGAGTAGAAGTGGTGAGCACAGGTGGCCTGGGCGTGGTTCCCGGGGGCTTGGGTGGTGCAGAATCAACACAGCATACTATCGGGTCCATGCCTCGGAAGGAGCATATCTAGAAAATTAAATGGATAATCACTGATAAACTGATGGTGTAGAAAACGCTTTGGCTTTATACGTGGTAGAGCCATGCTGCAACTATATTATAATTGCAGCACGAATGGGTCGGCTCGACCGGGGAAGGACCACGCTCTCACAGAATACCAGCGTAAAATAGTAGCTTAATGCTGTTGTGTTTCGTATGTTGAGTGTAGAGAACCGAAGACTTTTTTTAACGGGATACGCAACAATCCATCTTAGTCCTCTAGGGTGAAACGCATCTGCATTTTGATTCTTAATCGAGGATAGATGTAAATTTCTATGGTCCCCCAGCATCCACTTATCGCCAGGTGGGCTGTGTGCTCGCTTCTCACTCTTAATCTGTAAAAAAATATTTCTGTTTCCTTTCCATCATTTCGTTAGCAAATAATAGACATAACAACACAAGCACATTGTCTTGAGACAATGTGCTTGTGTTGTTTTGTCTTTTAAACATTACCGCCTTACTCGGTTTTTCTCCTGTATCGTAGAGTTAACCATAAATTATACAAGGGCAAACATCCATACACGGAACACTTATTTGTGGGCCACACAAAACCTGTTCCGTGCGGGATTGGAATCCGCCGCCCTCATCGCCCACTCAATGCAAAGTCACTGCACCACGAAGCCGCTAAAAGTTTACCTCATAGTTTTAAATGGTAGTTTATTGATATTTGTAACCAATTTCTAACAAAAGCAAAATGCCTCACAGTATATAATCATCAATAGTTCTCTTAACCTTCCAAATACATTGCAGTTTGGCAGGTCGCAGGATAGTTACCAATCCAGATGGACCGCCAGATAGAAGAGAGGACATAGCACTTAATAATTATTTAATTGAATATTGGAGTATATCACATGAAATGGAACAATTTCTCGATTTGTTTATCAACTAAAATTCTTAAATGTTAAAATACCTCATTCGGATTGATGTCCCCAATCATCCCTCAAAATCATCAATCAATCATCCCTTAAAAGAAATCATTGTCGGTCATTGACATAATCTAAACCAATAATACAAATTATAAAATAATAATAATGTACTCCACACCGAATTTCGATCACGGCGGCCAGCCTCAACGGAGGCTAGCCATCTGTGCAGGACAGGATTATAATGCACGAGTGTATGCGCGAGCACAGGTGCACTCTCTATTGCCTCACTCTCATAGTCCGATGGGACAGTAAACCGACACGACCGGAGAGAGTACAGGCGCAGGACCAACAATTTTACGTGCTTTTTGAGGCATGGGGGTGAACACCGCCCCCTACCTGACTCCTAACTGTTACTGAGAATTTCTTGACGGAAAATCCCAATTGTTGGCCTAATTACGGTTACGTGATTCAATCCCGGATGGTCTAGTAACATATGATTACCACTAAACACAACTTTACCTGCGGCTGCCGTCTATTCTTGATGTCATTAATCGCTGCTTGGCAATTATTCAGGAGTAAACAGGTGCCACTTATACCATTTTTTTGGCAACCATCACCTGAAATAAGACATTGCTATTTTATTTTCACAGGCGCATAATTTTACAATAATATTTTTTCTTACTGGCTTTTAGATTTTATAAAGAGTGATAATGGGGGCCACGACTTTTTCTGCCACCAGGGCGGTGGCACTTTACAATGAGGTAAAATATTTGACAGATTTCATAGCGGGGGACGATAATTTCTTAGGAAAATGTAGTTATATTTCATACTAGCTGTGCCCCGCGGTTTCACCAGCGTCATCACGTGTCCGAGGTGCGCGACATGACCTAGTTCAAGCATTTTATAACGGCTAGGGTTTAAGCGTCGTTCGCGGGCCCAGCCAAGTATTGAATTATTTTAATTTTACATTATCTCTTAAACTATGCATCCAAATAACATGGTATTAAGAACAAAGTTTATCTCCATAAAATTGTCTTGATGATGAAGTAACTTTAGTTCGTAAGGATAAATAGGCCATGCCTAATAATAACACTCAATATTTTTTTGTCACAAAATACCAAATTATGGCTTATGTATAAGAAATAGACATATGGTTTCGCGGACTTTTTTTTAGAGGGATTAAAGGTCTATATTTTTCTAGAACATTGTTTTTACGTATCCCTAACGATAACACCAGCGTACGCGGATAAATCATTTCGGGAGTGCTTTTTCTTCTGACTTGCCTATAGAAACAGAAACTTTTTTTATTCAATATAGATTATAAATAATACTTATTGAAAGTCACTCTTTTGTTTGATTACCACTGGTTCGGAAAAAACCTCTGTCCTGGGAAGAACCAGCAAGAAACCCAGCGGGACTTTTTTTTTAAATAACAGCTTTCAATCATGTTGTTACATAAATTAACAACACAACAAATTAGAAATAGCTTGGTAGCGATCACCTCATTTCCAGGGGTTATTATCATCCATAAATTCCTTAATATTATAATGACCCTTTTTATACAAACTTAGTTTAATAAAGCTTTTGAACTTTGAGCAGGTCAAATTTTGTATATTTTCTGGAATTTTGTTGTAAAAGCGTTTACATCGCCCCAAGAATGAATTACTGACTCGATGGAGTCGAGTAACTGGTACTACTAGCTTGTGTCTGTTCCTAGTATTTACAGAATGAATATCACTTATTTTTGTAAAACTACTTTTATTTTTGTGTACGTACATTACATTTTCATAAATGTATTGAGAGGCCAAAGTTAATATATTAATTTCCTTAAATTTTTGTCGCAGTGACGCAGGCTTTAAATCATAAATTGCCCTTATGGCCCTCTTCTGTAAAACAAATATAATTTCCGTGTCCCCATAGCAAAATACCATACGACATTATGCTATGGAAATAGCTAAAGTAAACTAGTCTAGCTGTTTCAACAGTGGTAAGACTTCTAATCTTTTTTACAGCATATGCTGCAGAACTAAGTCTGCTTGCTAGTTTTGATATATGGGGGCTCCATTGAAGCTTCGCGTCTAGTGTGATTCCAAGAATAATGGTCGTATCTACAAGACTCAGTTTCTCCCCATTTAAATTTACATTAGTATTTAATTGTTTGACATTTGGAGTCATGAATTTCATACATTTCGTTTTAGTGCCATTTAAATGCAAATTATTAACATTGAACCAATTTACTAATTTAGATATAGCATTATTTACTTCGTCATTACTATTCCACATGAATCTGGCTATAATATACAAAAAGAATTTTTCAAATCGGACTGGCATTTTCAGAGATTAGCGCGTTTAAACAAACAAAAAAACAAAAAAAAACTCTTCCGCTTTATTATATTAATAAGTATAGATTAATAAGATTAGAAATGAATAAACCAAACTATAAATATTACTAAAAGTAGAAAATTTCAAAAAAAGCGTTATAAAGTGCAAAATGTTTAAAATCATTTAGTGATGCATTGTGTTGTGTATTAATTTAATACTATAGATAATGATAAACTCGTATTAACTAATTTCTTAATTAACTGACATTGTGTAACCAAAACTTTACCTCAACCACAACTAGCGACATCTAGTGAGTAAAACATTATTAGCCCTCATTAAGGACCCATTTAAAGTCGATTAAGAGGATAAAGTCTTATCCGTCACTATTCCGAGGATATTCCGGACTATTTATTCATTATTCAGGTTATAAGTATTTATAAAATACACCCATTTTTTAGTACACTTAAAACTAGGGGTTATTAAGCTAACAGAATACGGAAATTATTACACAATACAGAAATTATTTTTTTATACGAGTACACTATGTTCCAGTGGCTCATCACAAGGCAATCTTGTCTTTCATATATGTAAGCTAGGAGGCTGTCGGTACTGCATCGCACCATTTTATTACAATAATCATCATAGGTACAACCCTAGAGCATTCGTGCCATGACGCGCTTGCACGTGAGTCGCACGGCGGTCAACACAATCTCGACTCTTTATCCGCGTATTTATGGTACATTTTCCTCTCGCTGCGAACAGTAGACATTATTATTAAGATTTTGTAGGCTATTATAGCGTAGGTATTTTCGCTTTTGTATGGGAGTGATGTATCTGTTTAGTAAACTATTAACTAATCTGTGATCGCACGCGAAGTATCGAGGAGGCTATTCTTTTGCGTAATATTACTACAATATTTTCTACGCGTGCTTCGGCAGCACGTATGTTTACAAAAGCGTGGCAGTCGCAACAACATCGTGCATCCATTGTTATATTGAATTACAGTGTGATTAAATATAAGTATTTTATTAATATGTCTGACGTCAACTGGTTGGTCATAACACTGCTGACTAACAGCTATTATCAAATAAACTAGCTATTTTTATCACTTGTGTAACTGCGAATATCAGTTACCACTTTTTTCGGCTAGGTTACACTTTCACTATATGGAACCGCGAATGTCACTTACCACCTTTTTCGGCTAGCTAACACTTTCACTATATGTAACTGCGAATTTCAGTTACCACTTTTTTCGGCTAGCTAACACTTTCACTATATGTAACTGCGAATGTCAGTTACCACTTTTTTCGGCTAGCTAACACTTTCACTATATGTAACTGCGAATGTCAGTTACCACTTTTTTCGGCTAGCTAACACTTTTCACTATATGTAACTGCGAATGTCAGTTACCACTTTTTTCGGCTAGCTAACACTTTCACTATATGTAACTGCGAATGTCAGTTACCACTTTTTTCGGCTAGCTAACACTTTTCACTATATGTAACTGCGAATGTCAGTTACCACTTTTTTCGGCTAGCTAACACTTTCACTATATGTAACTGCGAATGTCAGTTACCACTTTTTTCGGCTAGCTAACACTTTCACTATATGTAACTGCGAATGTCAGTTACCACTTTTTTCGGCTAGCTAACACTTTCACTATATGTAACTGCGAATGTCAGTTACCACTTTTTTCGGCTAGCTAACACTTTCACTATATGTAACTGCGAATGTCAGTTACCACTTTTTTCGGCTAGCTAACACTTTCACTATATGTAACTGCGAATGTCAGTTACCACTTTTTTCGGCTAGCTAACACTTTCACTATATGTAACTGCGAATGTCAGTTACCACTTTTTTCGGCTAGCTAACACTTTCACTATATGTAACTGCGAATGTCAGTTACCACTTTTTTCGGCTAGCTAACACTTTCACTATATGTAACTGCGAATGTCAGTTACCACTTTTTTCGGCTAGCTAACACTTTCACTATATGTAACTGCGAATTTCAGTTACCACTTTTTTCGGCTAGCTAACACTTTCACTATATGTAACTGCGAATGTCAGTTACCACTTTTTTCGGCTAGCTAACACTTTCACTATATGTAACTGCGAATGTCAGTTACCACTTTTTTCGGCTAGCTAACACTTTTCACTATATGTAACTGCGAATTTCAGTTACCACTTTTTTCGGCTAGCTAACACTTTCACTATATGTAACTGCGAATGTCAGTTACCACTTTTTTCGGCTAGCTAACACTTTCACTATATGTAACTGCGAATGTCAGTTACCACTTTTTTCGGCTAGCTAACACTTTCACTATATGTAACTGCGAATGTCAGTTACCACTTTTTTCGGCTAGCTAACACTTTCACTATATGTATCTGCGAATTTCAGTTACCACTTTTTTCGGCTAGCTAACACTTTCACTATATGTAACTGCGAATGTCAGTTACCACTTTTTTCGGCTAGCTAACACTTTCACTATATGTAACTGCGAATGTCAGTTACCACTTTTTTCGCAACCTTGTTTTGGCTCCCCGCTCACTTAGCGGTTAGCCACCGTAGAGTCTATATCACCTGAGGATGCCTCGTGTAGAGGCGAAACACGTGTCGTATTATCGTCAGTGGTGTGTCTTGCCTAGTGTAGTGGTGTTGGGAGTAGTGGTGCTGGGATTAGTGGTGACGGGGATAGTGCACGCAATTGAGGAAGGGCGGGAGGTGCTCTTCATACTAGGTAAGACACATCATTTTATTTTATAACGCGGATGTTTGCGAAGTAAATTTTTCTAAAAGCTTTTATATAATGGATTTCCGCAAAGTAACGCCTGATTCTATTAATTATAGTTCTTCATACTACAACGTTACTGCGTGCCGAGCCCCTAAGGTAGACTTCGGCTATACTTTATAGTGAGCCGCTTGCCATTGTCCGTTTTGCCTCTTTATTGCATAAAATTTTCACTATATAATTGGCATAAATTACAATATTTTCTATACAAGATTAAATCCTACACTAACATGCTACATCATCAAATCGGCATTTTAGTCCTTTATTAGTATATCAAAAAGGTTAGTCAATACATTAACGTTTAAAAAAGTTATTAAACGAAATGTCTCAAATTTTCATAATATTTGGGTACACTACTTAATTCTTTAATTTTTCTATAAATAGGAAATGCGTTTAGTTATACATAATATTCCTTCACTTCCTTAATCTATATACCTTAAGCTAATTCAATATCATATTTATAACTCTTTTGGAACATAAAAATTATTCCCATCATTTTCGGTATC